AATTTGATAGCATCATACCCTTAAAGCCTTACGACATAAAATATCAAATTAAAAACTTGTATAAACACAAAAGTACGCAACAGTTATTACGAAATTAACAAATGGAAGAAAAATTAACTTACTCAGTGTACTAGCAGTAGTTTTCCATTAGGAAGATGCGACACACGCTTGAAACGAATAAGCGATATAAAAATGTTGGATCCAATTCGATTTCGAGTAGAGAACCTGTCATAAAAAACGCATTATTATGTAGTACAGTTGTGTATAAACACAACATAGAAGAGTAATTAAACACAGCACCACATTTAAGTAACTACAAACTAATAGCACGGTCATGACAACTCAAAATATGCCATAAGTATCACAATAATGGTTTTAATTTTGAATATTGGTGATATACACTTACGATATTTTATTTTTGAAGCCGAATAATACTTGCTCGCTAGCAGACGCTACGTAACTGATTTCGTCGTCATATGATGGCGTGGCCGCTTTGGTTTCGTGCGCACGCTTCGGTCAATACTGCATTTTTGTGAGTCCTGCATGAGACGCGCCTAGTTTAAACATTCTGCCAACCCAGATTCGAAGCACTAGTTAACACGAGGTATTCTGCTTATTAATGATTTACAGAACAGATAATGAGCCTATGATGATATGAGTCTTTTAATAGGATAGTCAGCGAGTCTGCGGAAAGTCGTATAATTCGAGAATCGATATTGTATCCCCGTTCGATACACCGAACAGTTTACGTTTGGAGCAGGACATAACGCTAGATTTGTTCTCCACCTACGCCATCTACCGTGATCTAATGTTACTTCAAAGAAATTAATTGGATAAATGAGGCATTATTTTGAGGTCCTTAGCAAGAAACCAGCTTATGTCATTGCTAATTAAAAATGTATCAAACATGGCTTCTAACCTTTGTCACACGTGCTATACGAGTATATAGGTACAATAAGGTAAAACATAAAGTTGTCTCTGTGCTTAACTAATCACTAAGCCATGAAGGCATATTGGGGAGTTGATGTATGGTACATTTTCTTTATCTTGACACTAGTTAGAGGTGATTGCTCAGCTTTCCCCCCTGGGAGAAGCCCCCAGTACCCATTGGCTAGGAGGCTGGGTGATGTGGAGAAAATCTGACAATACTGGGACTCGAACTCTTAACCGCTGCCAGCCAGCCCATAGCCAATCATTATATCAACTACACTATTCTGGCTCCCATATATACACGTATAGTTACGGTTCAGGCCAAAGCTAGATACCTCAGTACATACATCAATTTTTTATATATGTTTAATGCACAGCATAAATTAATGTGTTCATATTCCCTATTTTCTGCATATGGCAAATGTTTTCATTTTTTTTTTTTGGATTAGTGTGTAACACTTGCCATTTTCTGCAGTTTTTCCCTGTACACAAAGTCCCCCCCCCCCAAAAAAAAACCCATCTAATACAATCTCATGTGAATAGGCAATCTTGCAGCTGAGATTGTGTGGGGGGGGATAATATGTAACATTTAATGTACTGTTTTTGGGTAGAAATTAAACTGTCTTTCAGAGGCAAAATCCAAGCAACTGATATGAAACTTCTGGGAAGTATGCATTGTAGAAAAGTAAATGCTAGTCATAAATTATTTTTTCTTAGAGAAGTTCAAATCCAAAATCTATGAATAGGGTATGGAGGAAAAAACTACACCGATTTGGCCATACCAAAAGAGTAGAACAAGAATGCCTAGAAAAACATCAGAATTAAAATCTAAAGGAAGACCACCTATCGGACAGAACAAGATGGTTCAAATAGATACTGGAAGATGTTAGGAAGAGAGGAAACAGCTGGTGAAAAATTGAGGGCAGACAAAAGAAACTGCAGACATTTTGATCCACATAAAACAGAAATGGTGCCAGAAGAAGACAAAATCAAGTTCTTTTCATTCATCCTTTATCTCATAATTGGAGATACAGCAATCCCTTGCTTATTAACACTGGGGGTTACATTCTTCAATTATACTGTGGATATCAAAACTGCGCTGTGCAACAGCTCACAGAACAGTGCTTGGGTATAAAACTGTACCAGTGACATAAATTACATTTACATACAAGGTAACCACTTTTAACATAGCACAAATAAAATACATAATAGTATTCAGGTAAATAAATATGTCCCTCAGTATACACATAAAAACTTGGAATAGTTAAACTGAAAAATGTACAGAAAGAAAGCAATGTTTATCAGAGCAAGGACCCTAACACACACAGATTTTAAAGAGTAAAATATTAGTGTTTTGATAAGAAACTGAAACACACTTGCCGAAAAATTATGCATGTATTGTCTTTATCTTGTTTCTTGGTTTACTTAATGGTGTTCTCTGTCATCATACGACAAATTCTAGACCTAGGGAATGCGTTATTAATGAATGTATAAGGGGTGGGCCCTCTTGGCCCTTGCACTGATCTATTGTGCCTCCCCTTATGATCATCCCCTCAACAATCCTGTGCTTTAAATGAAGTGCAGGATTTTGTATGTGGGGACATCGAAATAGTCACTTGGTTCCATAAAATATTGAACCAAGTGGTGCAATCTTAAATAAGCTAAGGCCTCACATTCGCACAGGATATGTGTGGCTGTTTTGTTTTCTTCTTGACACCTCTCACAAGTTGATCTGTTACTTAGTCCCAATTTGAAGAGGTGTCCTGTAAGTAGTCTTACCACTCATCATAGCTAGTTCCTGTTTAACTTCAACAGTTCCTTTGCTTGCCTGAGTCCAGTTAAGGATCCCCAGTATTTCTTGTGATTCATATTTGTCCAGTCCCTGATTACCTTTCTGGTAAATGTGTTATCAACTAAATATTTTAAACAGTATGGAATGGCAATTATGAATAACGAATTCGAAAGGGCATGAAAGAAGTAACTGATGATGGGATTGAGAATATCCCAGAAGTCTGTCATGACTGCCAATCACTCAAATCAGGGGCCTCCTTATTTAAAAGCAGGCGTACTCCTAACCACTATACCACTACTAACTAACTAAACTAACTCCACGGCCTGTAGTCTTCAAGCGAACTATACTGAACGAGCAACCGTCGCTTGTCAGTGAAGTTAGTGCCAACTTTTGCAGACAGAGGGTGTCACATGGTCAGCAAAATGGATCCCCACTGCCATTAATCTCGGGTTTTCTGGACCAGAGCTATTATTTCCTTGAAATAGCTCCTCAATTACCCTCATTAGGCTGAGTGGACCCTATTCCAAACCCACTACTTCTCAGAAAATCTGGTAGCACCAGGATCGAAGCTGGGACCTCTGGATCTGTAGCCTCGAACTCTGGTCACTATACTAATATTACTACACCACAATATTAGTTGCAGTCTGTGTTTGGGCCTTTAATCTAATCCTTACTTTATTTGCTGTCCAGTTTTCACTCTTATAATACTAGTAAACAACATGCATCAAACAACTAATTTAACACATTAACCACATTTTTAGTAATATACAAATCAGGTATTTCCTTAATGCTATGCAAGTTCTTTACCTCCAATCCCAACATGTATAGTCTTAAATTATTAGAATAGAAAGTACTAGAAAAGTATGTGATATATCATCATTACCACCTTAAGCATATTTTAAAAACAGTATCACCTGTGAACGATTAAATTTATAGGAAACAGGCCACATTTGTAAAGGCTCACAACTACAGAACATATATCACAGTGAAAATATCTCACAATAAAGAACTTACTGTGAACCTATAGGTTTACCTTTTAACTGCCAGGCAGTCCAACTGGCATCACAACTTATCTCCTGTTATACCATGCAGTGCTTGAGATAGTAATTAGCTTGCCACTGAGTTGAATTACAAATTACAATAATTCTTTTACCTCAATCTCTAAAACTACTAAGAGAGAATTTTTTACAACATGATGACAGTTTTGTGTAACTATACTGACAAGAAGACACCTCCCTTTCCATTTTTTATTCAGATAAATATAGATGAGTTACATCTCTATCATCCTACCTATACACATTACTTCTGAAAATGCATTTTCATCCAAATTAATTTTCAGTTTGTGATATACTAAGCTTGTGTAGTAAGTAATGTGCTCTAATATACAGACCAAAACATTTGGTTAAGATGGTTATTTAATGCTGAGAAACTTTTCTGACCCATTTCAAGCACTGCATGTGCCAGACTTGCAAACAGTAAGACCAATGACAAAGAATATGGAATGTTTCACATTTAATATTACAATAATATATCTATAAATAATACATTTCCTAGTATTTTAAATACTTAATCACTGCTGCCAAGAGTGTTATACAAAATTTATGGGATTAAAATATAAGTCAGTCATAAAACCAACACCAAATCTTAATTAGCATATTAATACTGATTTCTTTTCTTAGTGCAAAAGAGCATTTTAACTTGTTATGCCCTAAAATAATTCTAAAATTAAATTTCATAACATAATTTACAATATGAATATGTGTTTATTTCATAGACTGCACTGCTAATGCAAACTAACTATTAAAATGCACTGTCTCACTCAAGAATACATTAACATCACAGACTAATAGTCGGTGCAACCTCCCCAACATCCAATGGGTATCTCTTAAGCCTGGCTGGCTGGCTGCCTACTGAGTACATTACCATCATTTGGAATGCTCCAGTGTGTACAAATTTCCAGTTTTTGACAAGTCATGTGGAATAAAACTGTTCTAAAAAATTGCAAACATCTTCTGATGCATCTTCAAAACAATGTTCTTGTATCAGAACAAGCATTAAAGTACCTGCCAGTGGCATGGTACATTTCATGGTTTCAAATGCTCAAAAATTTAGATTAAAATGTTGTTTTTCTGTAATTTACACACCAATTGTAATACTTTCAATCTGAACATTTTTGTATGATAAACTGTTATGGATATTGTGCCACTACCTCTGGCTTCAATCTTAAGCTACTATAACATTGCATGGTTAAAGATGATACAAAAATTTTCCACATACAAAAACTTTCAACAATATATAAAATATAGATCTGATATTTTAAGATCTACAATTTGAGTCTGAAACCTCTTTCATGTGGTGATTAATTAATGAAATACAGGGAAAAGTAATTTCTGACTGTGCAGAGTGATAGCTTTAGTATGGTTAGTTTGTATCTGCATTAAATGAATGCTAAGGTCAATGATGAATGTCAGAAATATATATACTCTTTTCAGTACATTTTCATGAGGTTCAAAAATTAAGAAAAGTATCAAAAAGAACATGCTGCTACAGTGTGTAGAACACTTGCATCAACTCCATGCAGCAGTTGTGTTAATCTGGTATGAGGAACAAAAATATTGCTTATGTTCATTTTCAAAATACCTGAAAAGAAAGGATTACAGAAAAATAAGAGCACAAGGTGCATAGTATGACATGTGCTCCATTGCCCATGTTCCCTTGCTTTACACAGCAAAATCCACATAAGAACTTAAGGCTACAAAAGTCATTTTAAGGCCCAATTTGTTAGTCCATATGAAATTTTCTTCATTTCCCTGGAATATCCAATACTACTTTCCCTTAAACTGATTATGTATAAATCACTTATTTACCAAACTTGTTTTCAAAGAGGGTATATAACACCCAAAATTATCGGGAGAAGGTGCAACAGAATTGAAAACAACCAGAAGTCGCAGAGTAACAGTAGTAGTGAGAATAAACGGGAGAAAACCAACAAAAGGACCCACAATGAGCTGGACAGAAAAAAGTGTACAAATTTAATGACATTTTCAAAAGAATGGGTTGTCCTGTCACAGAGACTTCTCCATTCTTTCTCCTCCTATAAGGAGGAGTTTCTCCAGTAGCTGAATTATTTCATTCTTTCTTACAAATTTCTTAAAGCTTCATTATAAAACTTAATCTCTAATAGTTGCAAAATACTTACACATCTCTTAGTTAATGTCACCTGCCCCCCTCACCACCAAAAGTAATCCTTTACACTGAAGTCTACTTTTACTCCGGTTATCTTCGTAACTATGATTTGTATACAAGAAAGTACAGCATTCATACCAGAAATTATATAGTAACAACTGCAAATTAATATGAAAAGTAACATTAATTACATTTTGTTCTATTGGTCAATTCACGGTTTATAGAAATGTGTGCAACTTTTGTATATTCATTACACGTGTCTGCTGTCTATTTTCTCTGCACAGATTCACTACGAGGGTAATACTAAAACTCTCCTACAATATGCATTAAAAAAACTGGTCCCTTGAAAAACTTCTTATAATGGTTCTAGTGCATGTCATATCACACTTTTCTGCTTTTATAAATGGTCCTGAGCAATAAATATTAATAAGAAACGTTATACTCTACAGAGATACATTAGTCCCATACATCCAAATCTTAAAACTTCTAAACACTGACAGGAGATTATAAAGAACAGGTCAGTTAACAGCTAATGTCCTGACATGAAAGGACTGTGATAACAGGGCTCAAAATTTCGGCACCAAACAAATTAAACAGTAAGCATAACTGCTTCACTGCACCAACCCTTCCTCTCGTCATCTCTCCATTTCAGAACATGTAGATGTCTTGGAAGGAACAAAAATATGGTCACAGGTCCTGACATGGCCTGAAACCAAGAATTATTGTGCTGGTGAAGATGAGCAGAAAATTACTGCTCTTCTCAGAGCAGTCACAGGAAAGTCCAATTCCTCTCCTCTCTTCACAGAGGAGGGCCTGTTTCAGAACACATAAATGGTCTTGGGAAGAACAAAAATATGGTCATGGGTCCCAAAACTAAGAATGACTGTGCTGGCAAAGGCCAGCAGCAAATATTACTGCCTTGCCCCCATGCCCCAGGCTCATGTTCAGTTGTCAGCCCGCAAAGACAGCAGCTGTTGAGCACAAAAGCAGTAACAGAAATCTCCACTGTCTGAAGCCACAACTTGGCAATGATCAGTGAAGACAAAGCAGACTGAAATACCTGTAGTGTGCAGAACTGTGGAAGTGCTGTAATTATTAGTAGTTACAAGCACTAAGCATTCAATAGTTTCAACACTCAATCCAAACCCTGTGTCTATTCACTGACACTTGATAATATAATACTGCTAATTCTCTACAGTGTTACACAATGTGTCACTTTGTCTTTTAAAAATATGACAAGAGTATGGAGCCTTATTATAATAATTCCATAAAACCATTACATTAAAAGGAAAAGTCACATGATATTCTGAAGGAATGGTCTATGCTTGAAACTGAAGTTTTGACCCCTGATATCAGTGTTAAAAGATAACCCCCCTCCCCTCAAAAAAATAAAAAATAAAGAAAAGAGGAATGTTATCACTAAGACAATGCTGGTTCATTCCCTTGTAGGCAACTATTCTTCTCTTCAACAGGCTTATTATCTCTTGAATTAGAATTGGTAACTGCTGCTTCAGCTTTCCTGTAAAGAGAAGATCCTATGAAATTGACAAAACGATATTGCACATAACAACCAAACTGGAGTTCAAATAATATTACAATGTTGGAATACAAATTTTGAAATAGGAATAAAATATGGTAATGTAAAATAGTTCTTGTACTTATAAGTATCATATTATGTCTGAGGGAGTAAAGGTCTAACTGTATACATGCTTAACATCAGCACTAAATGTAGTGAGTGGTCAGCTTCACACCCTAGCTGCTTTATGCCAGGGAAAGAGCCACTGGAGGCTGGTTGAGCCCCAGAGAGAGTGTGTAGAACAGAAAAATCTCTGCCCCTGCTGATAACTAAACACTGATTCTCCAGTCATCGAGCCCACAGCCTACTCACTATACTGACAGCTATAATGTGAGTTTTACTTATTCTTTTTATTGGAATTGCTTAGGGAAAGTGCTGCAGAAGTTATCAGGGCACAGTGTTCAAAATTTGAAGGGAAAATGAAATCTTCTCTAAGGTGCAGAAAGGAGAAACAGTTCTGAGCACACAGCAAAGTAAAAAGTAAGGTATCCCTGTAACAGGCAGTAGAGGCCCATATGGTTGTGAGATGTTGAGGTTCCCATATTTTCTAGACAATCAGCTCATAGAGGCAGCAAGGCTGTCAGCCTTATGTGCCGGCAGCCCTTTAATCCCAAGAATATTCCTGGTACTCGTTTCTGTTAGAGGCTGAGCCGACCCCAGGGCCACAGTGTGGGTAGAAGGATTAGGCCAATTGAAAAAAAATCCAATGACCTCATCGGGACTTGAACCCGCGACCTTCCAGCTTGTAGCATAGTGCCTCAACCATGCTACTGCATGCCCCAGCACATGCATGTAATTTCTTATGATTGAAAAGGTTCAAGATTTATTAGTGTGAAGGCCATCCCAGAGCTACGAGTGACTGCCCCAAAACATTTTTCCAAGCACTTTGTCTAGGCATGCAAGTTCAATATAAAAAACAAGGAATTCTGGGGAGAACTCATAATGTCCACTTTCCTATTACACAGATTTCTGGTATTACAAATCACATGTTAAAATATTTTAGTAATGTAAGTTCATTACACAAAAATAAAATGCTCATCATGTATGCTTAGCATGCTGTAAATGGTCACAGCATCAAATTTCATTCATATTATAATTTTTTTATTGCTTAAAATTGTGATACAGCTTGCAAAGCTGGAGATGTATGGACAGAGAGGAATAGCTCAAGCGTGGATGAGATCGTATCTCACCGACAGAACCCAGTTTGTTGAAATTCACCATATGGATCAAAAGACCTTTAAGATAAAGACACTTACCTCATCTCTTAAGGCTATTAAACATGGTGTACCTCAGGGTTCTGTTTTAGGACCCCTTTTATTTTTATTATTCATAAATGATCTGCCCCGAATCATACAAAATGCAGAGGTAGTATTATTTGCGGATGATACTAATATATTAATTACTGGAAATGACATGTTATCATTAAATGAAAAAATTCAAAATGTAAAGAATCAATTAGAAAAATGGTTTTATGAAAATCATTTAATAATAAACACTGAAAAGTCTAAGGTAATTTTTTTTTCGGGGAAGTAGATCTACTCCAATTATTAGATCCATTTTTTCTTTAAATAATAAGGAGGTAGTTTGTTCATCAGATGTAAAATTTCTGGGTATTTGTATTACTGAGGATTTAAGTTGGGCAACCCACACCCAATATGTTTGTAAAAAACTTAGCAAGACTCTTTATTTGATTAAATCTTTACGGGACTCTGTGAGCCAATCTGTATTAAGAAATGTGTATCTTGCAAAGTTTGAGTCCGTGTTGAAATACGGTATTATTTTTTGGGGTGGGGTGAAAAAGGACTCTGAAACTCTATTTAAACTACAGAAAAAATGTTTAAGGGTGGTTAAAGGTGTAAGAAATAGAGTCTCCTGTAGAAATTTGTTTCGAGAATTTAAGATTCTAACAGTTACTTCCTTATATATATTTGAGATTTTATGTTTTGTAATAAAAAATAGGATATATACTACCCAGTATTCTGACGTACATGGCTATAATACTATTCATAAACACAATCTGTATGTTCAATTTTGCAATACTGAGCGCTGCAAAAGAGGGGTGATTGGTATGGGAACCAAAATATTTAATGGCCTACCGACTGAACTAAAAAGTGTAAATAATTTTAATGTTTTTAAAAAGAAGCTGAAATTATTTGTTGTGTAACGTCTTTTATTCTCTTCAGGAATTTTTTAACAACTGTTGATATGGACTGCTTGCTGACAAATAAATCTGTTTTAGATAAATTATTTATATGTACAGGAATATGTTTTAAATAGTCTGTTTGTATGTTGTAAACAATCTGTATATATGTTTTAAATATTTTCTTTAGTCTTAGGTATTTATTATTTATTATTCTATATTCATGTACTTTGAATGTTATGCTTGATGTAATGTTGTTGTTATCTGACATGTCCAATTGTAATTTCTACAGCTATGGATGAAATAAATGAATTGAATTGATATTGCTGTTGTTGTGCAGGAATAACTCCCTACTTAAGTACTGATCCTATCTATATTAAAACTACTGGATCTAACGACAAAGTTTGCACTGTCAGCATGTTTGCATTTGTTCACTTATGAACAATACGTCATGTAAAGTTTTCATGAACAGTCATAATCTTCAAACAAGACATCACAGTGCTACCCCCAGTAGTCATTAGTTATCACCATCAACTCACAAGCTAAATAAACATTTCCACACAGCTGTTGTGCTATTTTACAATCTTTAAATAACCTTAATAAAACTGCATCATTTGTGATGATCTATTACCATACAGCATTTGAGGACCCTATATTAAGTGGTATTAGTGACATTCCTAGCAAGTTAATTTGCCCACCATGCTATTAATGTCTGCAGGAAATTAAAAAGCATGAGCTTGAAGTGGCATCTAAGTGACATGAAGTTCATTGTGAATTGCATGAATACTGATGTGTTGACTCGTAATTAAAAGGTAGACACATGGTCACGTAAAATGTCTTTCTTCCTTAAAAATGGAAAGCAGGCTAATACAACACCATAAAAGTTATTTAATAAGTTAATAAGTTAGTAATATTCAGTCACAATAAGCCATCTGTTAATTTGAAAGTTTGTTTTCATATCATTTTTATTGTGCATTTCTTTACAATCAGACAATAATTACAGTTTATTTCTGCACTCATGGATGAGTTTAGATTTAGTTACATTTACCTTTAATGGCAAGGCATGTCAAAATTTTCTCATATCAGATGTAAAGCCTGTTCACTAAAAATTAATTTTTATTTGCAGCCACTCACCCCTTCCTATCAGACACATTTCCCAAAATGACAGAATTCACTGTTCATACAACCAAATTGGCATCAATGTTGAAACTAACACCAACAGGTTTTCAGAAGTATTTATCTGAAAGTTATTTAATGATGCCATATGAGCAATAAAGCTAGGAAATTATTATGTATGGTGAAATGTATAGGATTCAGGAGGTCTGTTTCAAGGCACTATCTTGCACTTGGAATGACTAATGAAAAGAATGAAACACTTCAGTCAAGGTTATGAACTGTTACCTCTCTGGTGATGGGCAGCACACATCACTGAAGGACATGCCACACACTTTATCCACAGAAGGCAGTTCCAGCATTTCATTGGCCCACAAAAGTGGATTGTAACTGGGAGCCTCACCTCCCAGCTCTGCTGGCAAGATGTCCTTCGCAACATAGTCATGAAGAGTGCTGAGATTGTTCCCATGAAGAAATATCTGATGACAAAACCAACAGAAGCCTCACAGTATGACCGCATGACATATATTTATGTGGTGTGGGGGAACTGATTACAGAACGGTGACCATACAGACCTGGAACCAACTACCTTCAGATGCTTTAGGGACTCTCTCCTGCAAACCATGTAATTTTAGGAAAAGGGTTAGGAAAGTGATAAATGAGGTAAAGTGAAGGTGGGGTGGAAATCAGCCAAAAAAAGAAAAGAAAAAAAAAAAAAAAGCAGTGAAATGAAGTGAAAAGTGTTAAGGATGGGAGGATTACGTTAAGTGTAGTAAAGGGAAATGAAGGGAAAATGAGAACATGACATTATGCATTCATTACTGTTAGTTTATTATATAGTATGTTTCACGTTTCTACTAATGTTTGTGTGCTGTGTTTTGTTTGAACGTGTTCATGTGTGTTATTTGTCTGCTGTCTTATTGTAGTACCATTGCCACCGGGTGAAAACCCATTTGCAGTTAAATAATAATAATAATTTATTAAATGATATGATGGTCAATTTCACAGAAAATTACAGGTATCACATTATGTCTGTCCAGTACAATCCTAAAGTGAAGTGGCTCCTAAAGATGCTTGCTATGCTCTACATTTATTATGCACTGATATACCTTATCTTTGGTCTTCTCCTTCAGGAATGGTCGTATAACAGTGAGGGCTGCCTCCACATACCAGGGCTGACTGATGAAATGAATCCCTTTAAACCGAGCAGGGTAACAATCCTGAAGACCCTCTATCATTAGCTTCAGGACCCGTGGGTTCAGACTGGAGGACTGTCTGAATGAAAACTCACTCCAGTCCACCACCACAACAAAGCCATTCAACTGATTACGTTGCTTTTCGATCAGTCGCTCCAAAGTGAGCAAAAGGGCACGATAAATTACTTCAAGAGAGTATGCACAGTGGTCCCAATTGGCTGTGAAAATCACCAGAACACAGCGTCCCTTCCTGTGAATAACATATGGTGATTTAGATCACGATACTCTAAAAACTTATAAAGCACTGCATAATTATATCTCAAACTATGAAGTAAAGTCTTTAGATTCACATAACCAATTTCATAGTATGTTATAAAATATGTAACCCAGAATATGTCATGGGAAAACTTAAATACAGAGACGCTCTCAATGCTTCCAGTCTGTAACACATTTACAGTATCATCTTCCACCACATGGCATACCGCCTTGCTGCATAGTGCCTTGGTTTAAATACAATTAACAGGTCACCATACCTCCATAGAAAATAATTTTGCTATTGCTATTGACAAAGTCAGAAATCCTGTACATAATATGCCATTCTAGATCTACCAGAACAAACAGGAAAGGGGATAAACGTGCAACAAGATTGTCATACGGTCAAAGAAAAGATACGTATCAGGCGGAGTTCAACAAGACAGAATGATGAAATGGTTCCTCAATTTTTAAAGCAGACACAAAAACACCACAAATAAATATCTATGTATTTAAACAATACCTGATATGTATGAGTTATATGCACCAAAACATTTTGATTTGATAACAAAACCATCCTATACATTGAGTGCCACCTTCATGTTGAAAAGGTCTCTCTAAAAACTGCTAATACAGGAAAAGTTGTGAAATCTGGAACCAGAGGGTTGCCAGATATCGTAATTTTCCATGATGCCTAATGTGTCTCAGTGTACCTAGCAACCTCATGAAAAGACCTTATCATTGTATTCATTACTTCATATCCTTTCCAGTTTTCACTGCTGCACTGTGTGTTTGATTTTCATCACTATCTAAGAAACATGGTGTATATATACTCTTAAAACAACATGACACCAGTATTTCAACTTTCAGTCATGATACATTCATCAATCTTCAGTTAAGAGAGATTTCAAGATCATCGAGTGCCTGATACCGCAGCTTTTAGTGTATTAGGGTTACAATTCTGTACAATAAAATCTGAAGCTTCCATAGCCAGATTGGGACACAGATAGTCCCTGAAACATCAGTAATTTTTAACCAACTGGCACAGCTGGTAGCCCGAGAAGATTTTATCAGCTATTGTAATGAAGTCAACAACTTTCATCACAGTGTATACTAAAACACCTGCTTTGTTTGAAGTGAAGGAATCAGGAAATCATTCACAAGTATTATTCACACTTTTAATGTTTCAGCCATACCGATCCCTTTCTGGTAACACTCCAGGGAAGCCATCACGCAGAGCCTGTTGTATCCCTATGTCTTGTGGAACAAAGTTGTCAAACAGCTGTCTGTTCCTCTGCCGGTAGGAGTAGTAATTAGCCATCAATTCAAAACTGTCAGGAACATTATTCTTCCTGGCATTAAGGAATCGCAAGATAAAGTTGTCATCAGTTTGCTGAAATTCTGAAATTCCCAAAAAAAAATGGAGTCAAATCTAACTCAATTTCATTCCCAGAATAACACACAGTACCAGCTGACTAGTAGGTTATTATTTATGTGTGTTGCATCACCTGAAACTGCTATATACAATTCAATCAGAGGCAAGGATGATTAGGAGTGCAAAGCATAAAGAAATGTAAGCAGGTGATAAGGCCCAAATCAAGGTTCCATCCAGGTATTTACCTGGAAGTAGTGAGCAAATATAATAACAATTTCAGATGGCAGCAGATGTCATTTTTAATAGCCAAGTTAAAATTATGAAAAATTTCAGATCTTTACATAATTTTCTTCCTCAACAATGAAATCAAAGATACAAAAATTACTGAATTTAACAAACTAATTGTATCTATGATTATATATTCCATTCCATTTTATGTAAAGTGAGAAATGAAAATCGGGTGAAGATTTCCAAATTATATGAGGAGCAGTCAAATGGAAATGGGTCAGAAGCCAAAACATATTAAAGAACATTTTTTACCTCAAAAGTAATCTCCAAAACTGTTAATACATTTATCCCACTGGGAGATCAGATGGTCAATCCCATCCTTGAAAAAGCTTGTGGGATGTCTATGGAACCATTTCTTTACCCAGCCACATACGTCTTCATCCGATGCAAACTGATGTCCACGAATGTCTCTCTTCTGGTCTCCAAAAATGTGAAAATTACATGGAGAGACATCTGGGCTGTAGGGGGGATGTTGAAGCACTTCCCAACCAAATCTCTGTAGCGTATTCCTCACAGAGTTGGCAGTGTGGGGGCGTGCATTATCATGAAAGAGGATAATGCTGTTTGAAAGCATTCCAGGGCGTTTTCACTTTATGGCACGTCTCAGTTTATGCAAAGTGTCTTCATAGTGCTGTGCACTGATTGTGGCCCCATTCTCGAGAAATTCGACAAGAAGAGGGGCCCTTGCAGTCGAAGGTCATCATCACTTTACCGGAACTTGTGTGTACGGCTTTGGATTTTTTTGGTGGGGGAGAATTAACATGTTTCCACTGCTGGCTTTGCTGTTTCCTCTTGGGTTCAAAATGGTGGCACCAAGTTTCGTTCCCAGTGGCAATACAGGACAAAAAAGAATACTCTTCCTCATGGTATCATTGCAAGTGACCCACTGATGCAGCCATTCTCTGAGTCTTCTGTTCCTCCATGAGTTGAAGTGGAACCCACTGTGTGCAGATTTTGTGGTACGGCAGGTGTTTTGTCACAGTGGCGTGTACGGAACCGTGACTTATTCCCATCAAAAGACTAATTTCTTCCACGGTGATCCATCAGTTTGCCTGGATATGACCATCCAATGCAGCAATAACATCAGGAGTGATGACACGATGAGCCTGTCCTGGGCGAGCATCATCTTGTAGTGACACACGTTCCTCTCAGAATCTCTTATGCTACCGCAGCACAAGTTCAATTCAATTCAATTCATTTATTTCATCCATAGCTGTAGTAATTACAATTGGACATGTCAGATAACAACACTACATCAAGCATAACATTCAAAGTACATGAATATAGAATAATAAATAATAAATACCTAAGACTAGAGAAAATATTTAAAACATATATACAGATTGTTTACAACATACAAACAGACTATTTAAAACATATTCCTGTACATATAAATAATTTATCTAAAACAGATTTATTTGTCAGCAAGCAGTCCATATCAACAGTTGTTAAAAAATTCCTGAAGAGAATAAAAGACGTTACACAACAAATAATTTTTCAGCTTCTTTTTAAAAACATTAAAATTATTTACACTTTTTAGTTCAGTCGGTAGGCCATTAAATATTTTGGTTCCCATACCAATCACCCCTCTTTTGCAGCGCTCAGTATTGCAAAATTGAACATACAGATTGTGTTTATGAATAGTATTATAGCCATGTACGTCAGAATACTGGGTAGTATATATCCTATTTTTTATTATAAAACATAAAATCTCAAATATATATAAGGAAGTAACTGTTAGAATCTTAAATTCTCGAAACAAATTTCTACAGGAGACTCTATTTCTTACACCTTTAACCACCCTTAAACATTTTTTCTGTAGTTTAAATAGAGTTTCAGAGTCCTTTTTCACCCCACCCCAAAAAATAATACCGTATTTCAACACGGACTCAAACTTTGCAAGATACACATTTCTTAATACAGATTGGCTCACAGAGTCCCGTAAAGATTTAATCAAATAAAGAGTCTTGCTAAGTTTTTTACAAACATATTGGGTGTGGGTTGCCCAACTTAAATCCTCAGTAATACAAATACCCAGAAATTTTACATCTGATGAACAAACTACCTCCTTATTATTTAAAGAAAAAATGGATCTAATAATTGGAGTAGATCTACTTCCCCGAAAAAAAATTACCTTAGACTTTTCAGTGTTTATTATTAAATGATTTTCATAAAACCATTTTTCTAATTGATTCTTTACATTTTGAATTTTTTCATTTAATGATAACATGTCATTTCCAGTAATTAATATATTAGTATCATCCGCAAATAATACTACCTCTGCATTTTGTATGATTCGGGGCAGATCATTTATGAATAATAAAAATAAAAGGGGTCCTAAAACAGAACCCTGAGGTACACCATGTTTAATAGCCTTAAGAGATGAGGTAAGTGTCTTTATCTTAAAGGTCTTTTGATCCATATGGTGAATTTCAACAAACTGGGTTCTGTCGGTGAGATACGATCTCATCCACGCGTGAGCTATTCCTCTCAGTCCATACAACTCCAGCTTTGCAAGCAGCAAGTTATGATTTATAACGTCAAAAGCTTTCGACAGATCCAAAAATATACCAAAAGCAAATTGTTTATTATCTAGGGTTTTTTGAATTTGTCCAATAAAAGTTTGAATTGCAGTAAATGTGGATTTATTCTTTCTGAAACCATTTTGAGCATTCGATATCAATTTGAATTTATTTAAAAAGTTTACAACTCTATTATACATTAGTGTTTCAAGGATTTTGGAAAATACAGACAAAATTGAAATTGGTCTATAATTGGTAATATTTTGTTTCTGACCTTTTTTAAAAATGGGTCGAACTTTTGCAATCTTCATTTGATCAGGAAAGATACCAGAGCTAAGTGACAGATTAAATATAAAAGTCAAAGGCTTTTTTATGAATTGGATACATTGTTTAACTATCATATCCGGGATCTCATCAAAACCCGCTGAGATTTTTGTTTTTAGTTTACTGGTGACCTTTAGAACCTCTTCTTCAGTAACAGGGACAAGAAATAACACATTTGGGTTCAGTATTATATCATTTACAGTGGCATGATCATTTTTACAGTTTCTATTTAAATGTATCAACCTGTCCACGCTATTTACAAAAAATTCATTAAATTGATGGGATATATCCTGGGGATTTGTAACTAGCATAGAATCAATTTCTAATGAAATATTTTCAATTTCTGTAAAGCCATTTCCTGACTCCTTCTTTATTATTTGCCATAGAGTTTTAGAATTATTGATTGATCTTTGAATGATTTGGTCATTTTCTCTTTGACGGGCAACAGAAATTACTTTTTTATAAATTCTCTGATATTTTTTTATATAGTTCAAGGTGTGAACAGACAGAGCCATCTTTCTTTTTAACAGATATAATAGTTGCAGCCTCTGTCTAGAAACCTTTATCCCTTGAGTGATCCAGCCTGATTTTTTCCCTTTCTTGCTAAAGACCTTTTTTAAGGGGAAGATATGCAGAAAATACTTAAGAAACTTACTTAAGAAAACACAATAGGCACTATTTACATCAAATTGAGAATAGACCTCGTCCCATAGTTCAATTTTTAGTTGATCATTAAATTTTGCAATATTTCTTCTTGAAAAAATCCTTTTCACAACATATTTTGAACAGGTGGAAGGGCTATGTACAAGTACGCTCATGACCAACGCAAAATGGTCAGAAAATCCCATTTCTACAACCTTTGTGGTTGAGTGGTAAAATATTTTATTTCTAATCATAACATCTAACAAGGAACGTGTATTTAAAGTAACTCGAGTTGGGCATAAAACCGTGTTTTGTAGATTATTTGATATCAATAAACTTTGTAAAGCCTTCTGGTGGGTATTTTCCTCTAATAAATTGATATTCCAATCCCCACATAACACTAAAAGACGCCCCTTTGTTAATAGCTTGTTTAAAGTTTCGTCTAACAATTCAAGGAAAATTTCCTTGCTACTATTTGGGGATCTATATATACAAACAACTGTAATTTTAAAATCCACTAGCTCAATGGCTGAAATTTCAAATACCTTTTCCCTTGCTAGATTATTTAAAAAAGGAAGCTCTCTAATTTTTAGATCGTTTAAGGCAAATATACAAGTGCCCCCATATCTGTTTGAATTTCTACAATAATTTGCCACCAATTTATACTGATTAATATTTATATGTAAAAGATGGTCTTTATGAAGCCAATGTTCTGAGAAGCATAGGATGGCAGGCTTTAGTGACCACGAACTCAACAATACATTTAAAGCCAACACTTTGTTTCCCAGACTCTGAATATTATGATGCAAAATACCCAAATTTTGTAATTTTTGTGGTCCATCATTACTAGAATTACAGGTAATAGGACACCATGAATCTACCATAAAAAATCCTTATCTCGTTTTTGAGGTGGACGTCGAGTTCTCTTTGAGGGCAATGCAATCCTTTTATGCTTATCCTGGTCATCATCACTTTCTCTTAAATTTATTTGTTCACAAGTTGAATCAATCTGTTTATTGCCCATATTTGTACTAATACTCTCTTCATCCTCCCTAGCTGAACAGATGCTCTTGTTAGATACCTGGGTTGTCCATGCTTGATTTACTTCACTTGCCTCAATAGTCCCATCACTTGCCTCAATGGTCCCATCACACTCACTGCAGTCCACAAAGTGAACGTGACATGCTGTGTTCACCGTAAACAACTGTGGGAACTGCCCACAGTCAAGCAAGTGTGACAACGCAAACGTCATTGCTTAGCAACAACGAGTAAACAACGGTTGCTAGGCAAAAGCAAGTAAACAGCGGTTGCTAGGGAACTAGTAAACACGGTAACCGGCAATAGCAGCACCTATTACATAACCGTTTTCCATATGTCCGACTCCAGGCTACATAAGAAGATACACTGACTTGCAGTGACAGTCTAGAGTCTGGTTCTACCGTTCTACAATACTAGTTCAGTGTTCAAGCAGTTCACTATTGTTATCCATCTGTGTATACTGTGCAGCTGCAATAAATCCTATAGGACCGTTCAACTAGTGGTTGCCTCTTCATTCATACGACATTCCACATTGGTGACCCCGACAATTCAACACAAATAATGGACAGCGGTCGAATAGAAGACCTCCTGCAACAGTACGTAACACACATGGAGACTTTACAAGGCGAACTACGTACAAAACGCGAACAGGAAGAAAAAAGGTAAGTAAAACATGCGACAAATTTCTCGTCCTCCTACTCCTTCAGCAGTCAAAAAGCGCACTACACTTCGCTGTTGTTCTTTACCCGCCTCCATGACTGATGTTGGACGACCACATGTAGCACTAACCTTACTTCCAGCACAATAAACAAACGACTAGTGTGCAAGGGCACGTTGTCACTGTGCTTTCCCGAGTCCCCACCATAAGCAAATTCCAGTGTTACCAAGTTGGGCACCATGTGAGTTATGCATGGTGACCTGTTTTAATTTGACTGCCCCTTATACGATTAATCACACTTATTGCTACTGCAAAGTAGCTAAAACAAGCATCACCTTGTATTAATATCAATAACAGATTTATGTACCATCCAGTATGTCTCACTTCTCAATTTCCAAGTTGAGAACTCACCTATTTCTGGTCGAGAAGAAATTAAATTTCGAACTGCCTGGATGAGTAGTGATTTGTCTTCAATTCCATTTAATGACTCAGCCTTTGAGGAAGATGCACTCAAAATATCAATATGCCGACGACTCCATTCAAATTCACAGTATTCTGCCATCATGCAGTCAATAACAGGATCACCTGTACAGGCACCAAGTCAAATGGTCTACTGCCTAAGATGATAGCCTTCTGGCATGTGATGCCTTATAGTTCGGTTGATAAGTATCTACTCTTGAATGAATGTGCTACCTCCCTCTTGAGGGCAGAAGAGAGAACCCTGAAGATGCAGGAAAGAGCTTACTCCAACATGCTGGTACCTACATACAAAAATGGCATCACATCCCAGAGGGCTGTGCTCTTGATACATGTTACTATCAAAACCTCAGAGCTCAGTCTAATTCTGATTATGCTATAGGTTTATATGTGGCCATGCTCAATTTTAACCAGCTGTGATAAATCAGAATGGTAACATATAGGGAGAATTACTACTTAATTTCAGGTTGAACATCTTTATAGTGCAGTGTGCATGTTATACATACATCAAAATTTGAGTCTTATTTACAGATTACTACAACCGACACTGCAGTTACATTGCACATTTTCCACTGCTTGAATATATTTAATGTGCACAGGATTTTGGGAGTTGGCCTTATTCCCTCCATAATTCATTGCATTATACTTAAAAATAACAAAAGTCTTATTGTTTTATTTTCAATGTCAATGCAGCAGCTGGGCCTGAATCCTGAATGTTTTCAATTCAAACCTAAGACAACCATGGTACAGTATCTGAGGGGTTCCTGAACTTATTGTTGCTGGAAGCATATAATCCAGTTCTAGTCATCCCCCCCCCAAAGAAAATATATACCCCATGGAATAAATGACATACAAAAGACTGTGATCTACAATAAAAAAGCCTTGGCCACGCCATAGCTCAAGCGGTTAGTTGCTGGCTTCCCACCGTAGTGTCCCGGGTTCGATCCTGGGTCTAGTCAAGTGGGATTTGTGGTGGACAAAGTGGCGCTGGGGTAGTTTTCTCCGGGGACTTCGGTTTCCCCTGCCAATCTTCATTCCACGAATTGCTCCACAATCACCCTCACCTATCATCTGGGGCTGGTACAATAGGCCAGGAGTGGCCGCAGTACAAGGGACTTAGTCCCACCCCACTAGCAATTAAATGAATAATAAAAAAGTGTTCTAGATATCACTTAAGCTTAACATATAAACTGACATACAATAAGCGTTATCAGTATGCAAACAGAAATAATGCACACTTATCTGAGATTCTCTGGGCTGCAAACAAACACGGAATTTATGAACAAACATTTAATAAGCTCAACAAACAATTTCCAAGAAATAAGGAAATCAATTGTTTATGAAGAAAAGATTAAGTAGGGAGTACCTTTACTTGGATATTACAAACTTTGTATCAGTTACTAAAGTTATGCTGTGCTCAGTGATCCTTGGCATGTTTATTCAGCAAGGATGGAAAATAAATCAGTCACGTCACTTTCTGATATTGTTCTGACATATTTCTACATAGGTAGTGGAAAATGATAAAAACCTGTCATGACAGGCCATTCCAGTCAGTTTTAAACCAGAAACCTCTCTAAAATGGAGTGTAGTTACTATTCCAAAACACCTTGTACTTGTATGTAGAGATGTGACTAATCTTCACTCTGAATCATTAAGGAAATTAGATAAAAGAACTTGCGATAGCCAAGGTGTGTAGTATGCAGGGGAGATAATAGGATATGAATACAAGACTCTGTGGAAAATTTTCATAAACACTTGGAAAAATGGATATACATGATCTGAAAACCAGTTTTACAGAACAAGATGGGTTTGACATGCAGCATTCATCGGGAAAATAAATACATACTTAATTTTGGCTTGAAGTCCTCTGAGGAAGAAACTAACTGGTTCACCCAAGAAGCGTTAGAAGAATAATATTAAAATGAATCCATTCATTCATTCATGTTTATTCATCCTGTAGATCAGATTACATTGATATAGGACATGTCACATAATATAAATTATAAAATTAACAAAATACAGTAGATTCTAAACCAGTAAACACACAAGATATGTAATGATTATTTACATCTAGCATGTATCATAATCTAATATATCATAGTTTATCCATACATTCATATATTCAATATTTACTATCTATAGATCGGACCACACAGGTGTAGAACATGACACAAGTAATAAATTATAAAATTAGCAAGGTACGAGAATTCATAACAAATAAAATCACAAAATATGTAATGACTATCATATCTAGCATATATCAATATGCAGCATAACAAAATTTATCCAAACATTCATTCACTCTAATAAATTATAAAATTAGCAATATACAATAAGATCAAAACCAATAAACTCGCAAATATGCAATGAGTATTTACATCAAACACGTAACAATTCCAATAATTCAGAATTATCTATACATTAATTAATTCATATTTACCCATATCACAGATCAGACCACATTAAAGTAGGACATATATCATGAAACGAGTTATAAAACCAACAAAATTACAACAAATTATAAACCAACAAATTCACAAAATATGTAATGCAATATCACATGCAGCATATATAACTATCCAGCATTACAGAATTTATCATTCATATAGTCATCAATTGAGTAGTAGCATCTATTTATGAGCAAATTCTTAAGTTCCCTTATAAACTGGTTTTTATTGTCAAGCTGTTTAATACTATTGGGTAATTTATTATAAAAGATACAGCCAGCAACAGAAGGTTTGCTGTTATAAAGTTCTAAGTTATGCACCCATTTATGGTAGTCATTTTTGTTTCTAGTATTGTGAGTGTGTACTTGTTTATTTACCGTACAGTTACACTTATTAGTTGCATATAAAATGGTTTGAAATATGTACATTGAATATAATGTTAAAATCTTTAGTTGTATAAAACTGTCTCTACAAGATTCTAAGGGTTTTAGCCCAGCAGTGTACCGTACGGCTCTTTTTTGAAGGATAAAAATTCTTTTAGTAAGTGCCTTAGCACTGATTCCCCATACTACAATTCCATATGATAAAAAGGGGAAGATCAAGCCATAATACAACATTCTTCTACCCTTTAGGTCTAATAATTTAGCAAGTCTATTTAATAAAAACAGGTTACGACTAATTCCACTGCAGATTCTATCAATATAAACATCCCAACTCAAGGTGCTGTCTATTTCCACACCCAAAAAGTTTATACTATTCACATTTTCTATTTCCATATTCTTAACTAAAATTTTATATTTATAGTCCTGCCTACATTGCTTTGTTTGAAAAAAATGCAGTGCGTTTTGGTTGGATTTATAAATAAATCATTCATCTCAAAGTATTTTTCCACAACTCCAATATCAGAAGCAGGTTGTCACTATGTTAACTGGGTGGACCTAACTTACAACAAAGTACACTGTCAGGCTCCTGTAACATCAATAATGAAAATTGTTCCATAACTGTGCCTGTGTTAACAGTTATGGATGTTAAATAAATTATCAATTATCAACTACATGACTCGTGTAATACATTGAATAACTGCATAATTCTCAATGGCACCCTGTGCCACATAATTAGGATTTGTCTGGAAAATTTATGCATAACCCCTTGAAAAATATGCATTCTGAGTAAAGTTTGTGCATCCACCCCTTCCTCTTTGCTGAGCTACTTCTCTCATTGTCTTCTATGGATAATGATGGCCATCACTTTTCAATTCAATTCCAAAATGAGACACATGAAACTTTATATTCACTAATGCTATAAGTCTGTTGATAGCAAATACAGACACATGTAACAATTTTGCTATACAAAATACTGTATGTATAACATACAAGGCAATATACTCAAAGCTCTAATATCTTGCAACGATCTGTACCTTAGTGGTGAGGCAGGAGGAGAAAATCTACAGCCCACAAAGAAAGCAAAGACAACATTCCTGTCCAAGAATGATCTTGCTTCTATCTGCCCTATTCTGCCAATATTCAAAAGAAAATTCTTTGAAAAGTTATTAATTTTGAATTACTAAAATGTAAATGAACCCCATTTACACAACTAATTTTCACTGCAACACTGTCATATCAACAAAGATCGTCATAAGACGATTTGTTTCAAGAGTGAATACAGAAATTAAGATTCTCATGGGTCCTAAGCTAGATTAATTATTTTGTATGTTTCCTCAGTGTTCACCAACTCCATATATCGTGAAAACAAAAACTACGTAATATGAGAGGATTTTAGGTTATTCATAATAGTTTTGAATTCAAACGATTATTAAACCTGTACACTTTACATCCAAAAGGGAAAGGAATGGCGAAAATAAAATACTTACTTGTTAACAAAGAACTGCTATCGACCTCATAAGGACCAGCTGTTATACTACTTTACTGTGGAAAAGGCCATCCAGGAAATCCTGTACGAATAACACGATCCTACGAATTACTTGCAAGTTCTGATGTAAGAATACATTCATGCGAAAAGAACATGCCCCACTACCCCCAAAAAAAAGCTGCTTATATTCACAAATATAATTATATATAATACAATTGTCCTTTGCCAATACGGAATGTACCTTCTTAAATCAGCCTGTATTTCCGTTTTCCAACATAATTTCACCGATCAAAGGATGCACCATATTTGGCATTTGTATTACACCGTTTTACATAGAGAAATTGGCCAGTGCTTTTCAGTCCCTCCTCCCCCTTAACCCGCAGTCAGACAAACAAAACAGTTACGGGCTTTTACGACACATAGACTAAAAATTATACCCTCGTACTTGCACACACGCAAAGCCTGACCAGATCAACTAAACTAAATCAAGTAGATCGAGCTCATTCAGCTAACAAGAGAAACTTGCCAACTGAAGCAAGGACGTTACTTCCTACCCGTTCGTTGACTGGTTGAGGCATCCCTGCCCAGTCAAGTACAGTCTAATATAATGTTATGCTTTTTAGCGTACTTTCCTCATTAAGAAAAAACAAAAGGAGACTTATGAGATCACAGTGTTGTGTCGGTGTATCCTCCCTTAATTTTTTAAAAAGAAAAGGAAGCTTATGTTATCGTCTTGCTGCCTGTGTTCCTTGACCCTAAGTTTTTCGTTCACTATGCGGTTCGTGTCGTGTCAAAGAAAAGTAGGCGATTAGTTCATCCCATAACTTTGTGGTTACGAATGCTGTCAGGGTAAATTACTGTTAGTTATTTAAGCGTTTTCTAAGTGCAGTATTTTGGCAGCCGTCAGGTCATAAAATTCTCCGAGTAAAGGGCTTTGTGTTATCTATGGCTCACTCCAAGGCCTCCAAGGGACTTCATCCGTGGCCCACACTGAATATTGTATTGTAGCGTGTCGGGTATGTCACGCTACAAATAAGTTGACGCCGTCGTCTGATATATAGCGAGTTTATTCTTATCGCTCGCTTACACACATTTTACAACATCACACCTGCAGTGTTACAATCACTGCTCACAGTATTCGGCGATGCTGGACTATCTCTTCTGGGGGCTGATCCGAGGCTAACTTCTCCGGAGGCTTGATGACGTCTTTCTCCTCCGAAGACTATTCCGAGACTCTGTCTTCTTAGCTAGCTATTCGAGGACTGGTGGCTTCGTGTCGAAGCTGGGCTATTTATCCTTGGCCGCTGCTAGGTAACGAACCCTTTGTTATAGCAGTGGAAACGTTGCATTGTTGGCTCCGCGTTTCCTACGCAATAACCCATTGTTATCGCGTTGTCTCTGTGGAAACGCTTCGCGTATCTGTGGTAACCGTGGAGATTCGATGTTTCTTATGCAACGGTCTGTTCTAGCGTTTCCATAGAAGTGCCTCTTCTTTCAGACACGTTACAGTATATTTATCTAAATACATACAAATACGAACGAATAACCTTTGGGACTGTCGTATCTAATGGGACTTTTGTTCGCATTTAAAATGGCGGATATTGAAAGTTAATGGTTGCTTTATATGTATTGTATTTGACCTGTGTTTGTAATTGAAGGGAAGAATAGAAGGGCCCTTCTCCACATCACTTTATCGTGCCGAACATGGTGCGAAGTAGTGGGTAGGTATATGGTTGAATTTCATATTTTAACTATGTCCTTTTCGATATAGTATGGCTGAGAAAGATGTGCTTTAAGGTTAGAAAGTTGTGACAATGCTATCAGCAAGGTAATAAGTGATGACACGTATAACAGATATATGTATTATTTTTACAGTCATCATCGTAAACGGTCTCGCAGCAAATCTGCTAGCCCAGAAAGAAAGAGGAGTAGAAGGTCACGTAGTCGTGAAAGGTAACCATTTGAATATTTAGAATTTATTTACTAAGTTAGAATCTGTGTTGAAATATGGTATTATTTTTGGGGATGGGGGCTTAAGGACTCCGAAACTGTATTTAAAATACAGAAAAAATGTCTAAGAGTGATTAAAGTTGTTAATAATAGAGTATCCTATAGAAATATGTTTGGTGAATATAAGATTTTAACTGGTACTGGTACTTCATTATATATATTTGAGATTTTATGTTTTATAATAAAGGATAAAATATATACATCTCAGTAGTCACACCTTCACAGCTACTTTACCATACATAAACATAATTTGTATGTTCAATTTTGTAATACTGATCATTGCAAAAAAATGTGTAATTAATACAGAGGATAACAATATAGACAACATGTTTAATACCTTCACAAATACATATCTGCAAATATTTTATGCTTGCTTTCCGAAAAAGAAAATATATGAGCATTCTCCTCCTACACAACGGTTAACCATCAGAATTAAAACTTCTTGCAAAAGGAAGAAAGAACTGTACCTTTTGACAAAGATACTTGATAACAACAATCTAAAGCTATATTATAAATCATATAGTAAGATCCTGACTAAGGTGATTAATGAGGCAAAAAGAGTCAGCTATAATGATAAAATTACCAACTCCAATAATACTACTAAAACTACTTGGAATATTATTAAAGTGTAGTTAGGTAAAAACCGTCTGAAGGCCCAAAACTGTAAAACTGAGAAAATAAATCCAAGTACTTTTAATAATCATTTTTTAAATATTGCTGATAATATTACTAAAAAAAATCTACTCAAATTACTTTAAATACTGATAATACCAATAATTATAAACATTATCTGAACTTGACAGCTAAGGGCCCCTTTCCCAATATAATATTCAATAAAATAACAACTAAAGAAATTGAAAAAGTTATCTCTTCTTTGCATTCAAAAAATTCTTCTGGATATGATGAGATTTTGATGAAGACACTAAAAATTAGTGTACAATTGTACATTACAGTGTGTATTTTAGGTTGCTTGCAATTAGTAAGAAGCAAAAGCTTCTGTATTCTTCTTTTATCTTCCCACTGTACAACAATGAAATGTTGTACATGCTACTAGTTTCATGTCTGTGGTATATACTTTGCATTGGTAGCACTGCTCCAGGACACTAATTTCTTGGTAATGACTTACAGTTCTATTTTATTGCACTTACATTCCAGGAATCATTGCACACCAGTCCATATGCTCCATTGCCTTTATATATGGTAACCAAATTTATCCTAATCCACAGAAATGTTGCATAATGTAGGATAAGATTTATTGGTGATGTGACCGCTAATATGTAGGGTAATCGGTCATGTTATGGGAACAATGTATGCAACTGTGTGCAGTGGGTAAACAGTGGCAAAAACTGAAGGCTCCTTAGAAATATTGTGTGGCGTCTTCTCACTACATTCTCTCGCAAGCAACATGCACCACCCCAAGTACAGTAAATTACCTGTAACCAAAGGTAGCATAAACTATTGTAACCTTACTTAAAGCAAAATAAATTTTATCAACATGCCCAGCGATATGTAGGTCAGTTGCTGATGTAAGGAGGGCAGTGTGCATGACTGTGAAGTATGAGAAAACAATGTCTGAAGGAACTGTGTTTATTTGAGGCTGGAAACACTGGACAGTATTGTGAGGCAGTCGCTTGTTGGAAGGAAGAGCCTGTGGGACAGGAAAGAAAGAATATTTGGCATAGTGGATCCTGCATCTCCATAAACTAGAGTTCTACCTTCATTTTTTCTAGTGTATCAATTACAGTCAGTGTTATATGCTATTTGACACTATATAATCTGGGCACTTTTAACAGCATTATCAAATAATTTTTCAGTTAATATGAGATTGTACAATGGTCTCTTGCATAACAACAAAGGGAACAAATTTTCAGTGCACTGCAGTCCTGTAGTGTTTCTAACTAGTGACAGTATTAGTTTTCTTGCCTGAGTTATTGCTAATTATATGCTTATTTGTAATGCTTTGTCATTTTTTTAGAGTGAAACCTCGCTACAGGCGCAGTAGATCACGGGACCGAGAGCGAGACTTATCAGATAGAGATCGTCATCGTCGTTCTCACAGCAGGGATAGGAAGTGGTCAGTATCACAGTAGTATTTCAGATATAGGGCATTCTTTGTATTGTGTCACATACCTGGAATTTACTTGCACCATGCCTTTCTATTGACTAACTCCCCTTCTTGGGATGCCTCCAGTTGCACAGCTACTCAAGAATTTCCCAACGATGTATGGAAACTGAAGGTTCATTACAGTGTTCATAATAGCCCTCCACTGATTTCTATCCCAAGGCAGATGAATCTACTCCATACCACCCAACCCTATTTCTCTGCAGATCCATTTTAATATTATCCTCCTGCTTACATCCCAGTCTTCCTTCTGACTTTCTCACCAAAATTGTGTATGCATTCCTTTTAGCTCCTATGTGTGCTACATGCCCTGCCCATCTCATCCTCCTTGACTTGATCATTCTCATTATACTTGGCAAAGAGTACAAATAATAAAGTTCCTCATTATGCAGTTTTCTTTGACCTCATATCACTTCATCCCTCTTTGGTCCACGTACTCTCCTCAGCACCCTGTTGCCAAACACCTTAGTTTTTACCATTAAATCTGGAAAAAAAATAGGAATAGTTCTTCCATTACTGGAGTGCATTTAGTAACATTGTAATCCTGTCAGTACTGAAACATCAAGGCAAAATCTGTCATAGCCTTGCAATCTGCTCTTGCCATCACGTCTGACACCTTTAGAGAACATGAACTTATCGTACCCACTTTTGAAAACAGATTCCTTTTATTTACAATTTTCCCAAAACTTCGTGACAGAAGCTGGAATGTTAAAACAATGCATTAAGTATTGTTTCTCTCAGAAAAATGTGTTCTGAAAATAGTGTGTGTGTGTGTGTGTGTGTATATATATATATATATATATATATGTTATTTCACACTGGGAAACTTACTCAGTTTCTGTAGTGTTATGCTGGATATGAGGTTCTCAGAGCAGTGATTGTCAACACAGCATTACAACCCATAAAACTATGCTTGTCTTTAATATGACCCTTCTTGGTAATATGTACAGTAACTTCAGAGATATAAAGAAAGAAAATTAAGCTTATTAGTTTTGTAGGATTTTTCAAAATTCGCAGTAATAGGTAATGTAGTCTGCTTTTGATGTAGGATTTGAGGTTTTCACAGCGGTGACTATGAAGAATGCTGTCTTCTGGGATGTGACGCCATGTAGATCTTGTGTGAACTGACTTTTGGAGGAAGATGTTGCCTCCATCTTCAGGATAGAAAAATCCATGAGCGAGGAACCAGTGTGAGCAAGTGGCTAGCAGACTGAGCCACCAGTTGAAAACACCCAGCTATATAAGAACAGAGGAGATTTTTTATTTCTTTTATTGCTAGCGGGGTGGGACTAAGTCCCTTGTACTGCGGCCACTTCTGGCCTATTGTACCAGCCCCAGATGATAGGTGATGGTGATTGTGGAGTAATTGATGGACTGCAGATTGGCAGGGGAAACCGAAGTACTTGGAGAAAACGTGCCCCAGTGTGCCACTTTGTCCACCACAAATCCCACTTGACCAGACCCAGGATCGAACATGGGCTGCCGCGATGGGAAACCAGCGACTAACTGCTTGAGCTATGGTGCGGCTAACAGAGGAGATGGAGAGATGTATGAAATTGCTGGAATTTAATTTATACCAACATTTTTGTCTACTTCAGGAGTGAGAGCAAGGAGCCTCTCATCTGCTCCCTCAAGAAACCTCACGAACATGACGGCAGATCTACAGGGCTGCTCAGGTCAATACACTCTCAACAGCTGTGGCCCTGAGGCTACTGGGTCAATGCTCACTTGGTAGCCCTGGCTTTACCCACCCCCCACAACTTTTCTCTGTCTACTCTTGCCCTCTGCTACCAGCTTGCCTGGCCTTCCTGATCTCTACTGACCCTACCCCTCTCCTCTATTGATTTCCCATGTGGTGCAATTTCCCTTTCTCCCTCCCTCCCTCCCTCCGTCTGTTCTTATATATAACAAACTCCATGGTTTCAGTCCACAAGCGAACTGTGCCAACCAAGCGACTGCCACTTGTTGGCAAAGTTAGTTCCAACTTTAGTAGATAGAGGGTGTTATGTGGTCAGTGCAGCAGAGCAACTGGAGCCACTATTTCCTTGAAATAGCTTTTCACTTAACTTCACAAGGCTGAGTGGACCCCATTCCATACCCACTACTTCTCAGAAATTTGGTAGTGCCAGAAATCGAACCCAGGACCTCTGGATCTGTAGCCAGGAACTTTGACCACTAGACCACAGAGGCAGTCTTTGTTCTTATATAGCTAGTTTATGACTGGTGGCTCAGTTTGCTAGCCACCTGCTCATTGTGGTTCCTTGCATGCGGATTTTTCTACCCTGAAGATGGAGGTGACCCAAGATATACACGGTGCCATATCCCACAAGATGGCTTTCTTCATAATCTACTTTTTATTTCTCATTGTGTGCAAGTTACAGAAAGATATGTGAAATTAGAGGCATTTAATTTGTGCCTACATATTTGTCTGCTCCAGGAATGACAACAAGGAGAGGAGATCTGCTTCATCAAAATCAAAAAGCAAATCACTGCGAGAAGTTTCAGGATCGGATTCAAAAGAGAGAGATAAAAAGGATTCTAAAGGGGATGATAAAGCTGAAGATGAAGCATTTGATCCCACAAACCTTGATAAAGTAAGCCTTTTGTTTTCATTGTTTGAATACACTGCAATGTGAGAAACTCACACCTAAAATGAAATGACACAGTAAACTCACTTAACTGGCTTAGGTCCATAAAAGGTAGGGTAGTTATTAGAATGCACTGAAAAGGAATAATAAGTATAATTAAGAAAGAAATGAATTTCACAACACCAACAGAAGATATATATTGTGTTTTTGAAGCACTGTGAAACAATACAGTACTAACATTTTATAGTATGTTTGCATTTGAAAATTTACGAGTATTTTCTAAGGGTGTGAAAAAGAATTAGATCATCAGATGCCATCCACTGGCTGTATAATGCACCAGGCAATAGTTGAATATTTCGATACCGTCAGCATGTGACAAAAGAGTAAATTTTACTTTCTTGAGACTCAGAAATTTACGCATGAAGGAAATGCAGTTATTGAGTTCTGTGACTTCTGTTTGAAAATTTCTTTTTCATCAATCTGATAGAAATTTAACAATTTCCTGTATGCCTGTGTTTAAAGTGGCATTTTGAATTGGATAGTATGATCTTATATGTTATTTAGTAACAAAAAATTAGAAATGTGTTGCCTCATTATAGAACTAACATGAAAATTGGCAGGTTTGAATTTCAGTAGATTTTCCTGTATTGTAATATAACATGTTATTCATAATGGTAACTAATTTTAGGAAGAAGAGCAGAAGAGGCTTGAGCAAGAGATGCAGAAGAGACGAGAGAGAATTGAAAGATGGAGGGCTGAGAGGAAGAAGAAAGAACTTGAAGTTACAAAGAAAGAAATCAAGGGAAGCCTATTAGGTTTGTAGAATTTCCCCAAATGGGCAGTGATAGGTAATGTAATGTAATGTAATGAAAAAAAAGATATGCAAGTGATAGATGTGGTCACATGGTGAGTGTAGAAACAGATTAAAATAACTAACACTCACCTGTATGAATGTTACAGCTAACTTACAACTGCCAATGAAGAAGTGGACACTGGAAGATGACAGTGATGAGGAAGAGGATAAGCAGGACAATAAAGAGAACAAGGATGAAATTATAGAGGAGGAAGTTGACCCCCTAGATGCTTTTATGCAGGTGAGCAATATTTCAGTATGTTACATTAGTATATAATAAGCCAGGATAGTGCAGTTGGTATACGGATGGACAACCAAGGGTTCGGAGTTCAAGTCCCAGTAGGGGCCATATTTTTGTCTTGTCCATTGTTCCTGTCATCTGGGATATGATGTCATGCATTGTGGTAGATATTTGCCAATGTTTCAGAGGAACCTACTGTTCTCCATCCATGGAGAAAAAGTCTCTTCTTCATATAAGATGGAGAGAGCAGGTTGGCAGCATGTTAATATCTGCCAGATTACACTGCATCACTTCCCAGAATACAGTAATCTTCATTGTTTCCACCAGAGTGTGTTCCTTTGTGACATCCTCATCAATTCTTCTGCATCCTACTAAGTTCTCCTTTACCTATTCCCACTCTTTCCCTAATAAGTTTTGTAGTATATTGTCTCACTTTGTGTCTCCATCCAGTCTGTGGTCCCCCAAACTGTCATTATTTGCTATCTTCATTTGTATGTCATCAGGGGAATCCTGTTGTTATCGTTTCCATAACATTTCACCTTTATTATTATTGTGGTGGGGTGAAACTGAGTCTCTTGATACTTATACTGCAAATGGGCCCATTATGACAACCTAGGGTAACAGATGAGAGAATGGAGCACTGGTTTAATAAAAATTGGCAGGCAAACATTGTAGTACCTGTCACAGAGCCACTTTTATCAGTCACAAGTGTCATCTGGACTACCCTGGGATTGGACTTGAGCCTCCACAGTGACAAGCTAGTGAGTAACTGCCTTGTATCCCTAATTCAGTTTTTTTTAGTGTTTTCTACCTTTAGGTCTTTGGTTTTAGATTTTACCCATTCTAGTGTATTCCCAAGGACATTCACCTGTCATTTCTGTGCAGCTATTGTTAATATGTACAGAATGCAAGTGTTGGTTTTGAGCTTCTAATAGCAAGTAACAATAGAACAATAGCTTTCTCCACTGTTATTTCTCTCTGCATTGTACCTTAACATTATTAAATTAATATATTGTAACGTGTTTAGCCACTGAAGACGCCGTTCCGATTGTTAATTGGTTTATTTAACAACCTACAAGTCTTGGCTACAATTAATTATAACACTGTTACGGGTAGGAGTTGAGGTAGGAGGAGGAGTGTTGACTGGCCTGTTACGTCACTGCGGGCGGGAAGGGGGGGGTGTCCTGCATAGCGCGAATATGTCACACTATTATACTTTTATTTTAATGAAGCCTTGTAACATCAAATTTGTCACTGTACTTAAAAATCCATGTATTTGTAGTTTTGTTGCCTTCATTTTATGTGTTACAGGGTGTTCAAGAAGAGGTGAGGAAAGTAAATAAAATCGATGGCAAGAAGACCGATGGCAAACCAGGAACTGCTGTCAATAGCAACAGTTCGGGCGTTGTTATAGTGACAGGCGTTGCCAAAAAGAAAGTTGACAAAAAGAAAGGGGAACTAATTGAACAAAACCAAGATGGCTTGGAGGTATGTACAACTTCATGATCTCTGGAAATGTAACCATTAGAATGCAATTTAATGCTTAATTGCGTTTTATGATACAGCTAAAATTGAAGTTGGTATGTGTAATTTTTAATGGAACTTGTGACCAAGGAACCACATAGAAAAACTAACAAATTTCAGAATTTTCCCGTCTGATCTAAATACAAAGAAATCAACATCTGCAGTCTCAAATAACATCATGGAATGTGATGGAGGGGCACTAAAGGATCAATAAGTGTTTGTTAAGTTAATGTTTTAAGTGATGTAGTTTACTATTTCTCCTATCAACACAGCAACATCTGTTGGTTTGGTAACAGTAATGTACCAATTTTATTGTCAGTACTCATCAGAAGAGGAGGAGGAAGATCTTAATGCAACAGCAGCTGGGATTGCCAACAAGCAGAAGAAGGAACTGGCAAAGGTGGACCATTCCAACATGCAGTATACACCCTTCCGCAAGAACTTCTATGTAGAAGTACCAGAGATAGCACGAATGACAGCTGAAGAAGTGGAGGCATACAAGGAGGTACATCTCATATTACCATTATCAAACTGGTATATTCAGTCAGATTATGATGAACTGGAGAGGATGTGGAAAGAAACAGCTGTGGGCTAATTAAGGTACTATCCTAGCAGTTGCCTGGAGAGACTAAGGAAAACTATGAATAACCTCAGGCATGATAGTTGGTGTCGTGGCTGAGATACAGACTAGGACACCTCCCAAATAAAAGTCAGAAACATTACTGCTTGAGCCAACTTGCTCATTGGGGAAGAACAAGTAGATTGTAACTGGATACAGCCATAAGAATGTTTGGAGATAGGTTCAAAGGCTGAGTCAAATAATTATAGCATAGAAGCCCATAGTTCAGTTTGATGCCATTATAAACTGTTGTGTTTGATATGTTGGTACATACTGGAACATTTGAATATAAGGGCCAAGTAACTAGCCCCATGGAGCAGGGTCCTACTTGGGAGGATAATAGATGTTCAGCTAGTTGAGAAACCTACATTTTATGGAAACTGGAGGTTCACTACAAACTGATACTTCTAGTTCTCATAGATGTTACCATACCAGTCCCTGTATTCTGTAGATTGCTAACCTTTGTAGAGGAGGAGGTTACATAATATTATGTCCTGGATGACAGCAATCTGCATTTGTCATGCAGTTCACAGGAGTGTGCTGCTTGTCACTATTCTGACCCAAATAAATTCACTCCACTTCTTCTTGCTTTGTTTATAAACAAAAATTCATAACATGATTTTGCAATATTAAGGAAACAAGAATATTTGAATGATTTGTATGAAATACAGATTTTACAATTCCAAATGGAAAAAGAGGCAGTTCTTATGTTAATCATAATGTGGAATGACTTAGCTGGAGGTAATGTCCTGTCATCTGTGATGTGATGTTATTGACAATCTCAGTTAAGGATTTTGATGATGTATTGGGAACCTTCAGAAAGGTTTGTATATAAAATTACATAGTCAAACCACTTCCTCCATTTATAAGTGCCACTGTATTTTCAGTTTGAAGTACACATGAATTTTTCTTTTTGAGTTCATGCTGGTACTATTTTATTGTGCACAGTTTTATCATGGGCCACAGTATACCTTTGTCAGCAATATAACTGGCTGTAGGCTTCATGACCAGGTTTTGATTCCTGGCAGCAGCAAAGGTATTTATCCTCACCAACACTAGTGTAGTTGGTTGAGGCACTATGCTACAAGCTGGAAGGTCTCGGGTTCAAGTCCCGATTAGGTCACTTGATTTTTTCAATTGACCTAATTCTTCCAGCTGCACTGTGACCCAGGGGTCGACTCAGCCCCTAACAGAAATGAGTACCAGGAATTAATAAATAATTTTCCTGGGGAGTAAAGTGCGGCCGGCGTGGAAGGCTGACAACCTTACCACCATCTTTGAGCCGATGGTCTAGATAATGTGGGAACCTCAACATTTAACAACCCTATGGGCCTCCATGGCCTGTTACAAGGATAGCTTTACTTTACTTTACTTTACTTTTAACACACATAAGTTAGTCCTGGGGCTCACCCACCCTCCTATCCAATTCGTACCAGGGGCAAAACAGCCAAGTGTGAAGCTGACCACTCACTTCCATCTAGTACAGACATCTGGAAGCCTTCCATGTATTTGAATTGTGTTGTGCTTACACAGAAACAACTTCATTTTGCTTTACAGTTTTATTAATCTGATCATTTTCTGTAATTATTGTTTACTTCTAAGGAACTGGAAGGTATCAGGGTAAAAGGGAAGGGTTGCCCGAAACCGATCAAAACTTGGGCTCAGTGTGGTGTCAGTAAGAAGGAACTGGATGTGCTGAAGAAACAGAGCTATGAAAAACCAACACCAATCCAGGTGCAGGCCATACCTGCCATCATGTCAGGTAAGCACGAGCATAATTGGAACTATGTTAGACTTGGACTTCTGTTAGCTTGAAATAAAATGCTCATTACTTTCTGAACAACACTTCCTATTCCTTATCTTATTAGAGACAGTGTGGGGAATACTAGGCCCCAACAGCCCACATTAACTCTCTCTTTGCCATCTATGAGCTGATTGTGTAGAAAATGTGGGACCCTCAACTTCTCACAACCCTATGGCCCTTCACGTCCTGTTACAGGGATACCTTTACTTTTACTTACTTTTTATACCATTGTATGCTTAGTAATGACAGTTTTGTTATAATGTTTCCACTTCCAAATCTTTCTGTACAACAAAAGAAGTGAGTTGTTGCAGCTTTTTGTGCTACTTTGAATGTTTAATGAGCGTAACATTGTTATCTTTTTCAGGACGAGACTTGATTGGTATTGCTAAAACAGGAAGTGGGAAAACACTGGCTTTCCTTTTACCAATGTTACGGCACATTATGGACCAGCCACCACTGGAAGAAATGGAGGGACCAATAGGTAAAGTACTGTTTATGGTGATGCAGGGCTCATAGACTTTGTCTCACAACAGGTTTAATCTTTGCAGTGCCACTTGAATGTAGACCAGTTCATTTAAATAGATTTTCCTGTGCATTTTTATGTTTTATTGTTTTAAATGTGATAAAGAGGAATTTTATATAAGCACTGTCACTCTGGATTATTCATTCTAAAAGGGAATGGTTCATAAATGTTCAAATTTATGGTTGTAATTTTATGAACACTATTTATTGCATTTCAGTTTTTAAGGACAAAAATGTAATTTTAATGTGTTCCAATATTTTAGCTGTTATCATGACTCCAACCCGTGAGCTATGTATGCAGATTGGGAAGGAATGTAAGAAGTTTACCAAATCATTAAACCTAAGGGCTGTGTGCGTGTATGGAGGTACTGGAATATCTGAACAGATTGCGGAGCTGAAACGGGGAGCAGAGATCATTGTATGCACTCCTGGTCGAATGATTGACCTTCTGGCTGCTAACAGCGGTGAGTTTTGTCCCTACTGTACTATTATTTTAAACATGCTGCATTATTGAAAGTAATATGTTGAAACAAGGAATTTTATTCTTATTTTTGTAGGTTTCTCATCCTTGCGGTAGCAGAGTTAGTTGAGGCACTATGCTACAAGCCGGAAGGTCATGGGTTCAAGTCCCAATGAGGTCATTGGATTTTTTCAGTTGACCTAATCCTTCCAGCTGCACTGTGGCCCTGAGGTTGACTCAGCCTCTAACAGAAATGAGTACCAGGAATATTCTTGGGCTGTTCTTCGGGGTTAAGGGCGGCTGGCGTGTAGGGCTGACAACCTTACCGCCATCTACGAGCTGATTGTCTAGAAAATGTGGGAACCGCAACATCTGACAACCCTATGGGCCTCCACTGCCTGTTACAGGGATACCTTTACTCTTTTTTTTTAACTTTTTCTCATCCTCTTTCCATAAGCCTTAGTTTAAATTTATTTCTTCCATCGCATTGTTGATCAATAACATGCATTGCTTATAGTGTCTTTTTAAATATGGGTTCTTGATTGCTGGCCCATAATAAAGCCACATATCTTGAAAGACTGGGATTTTGTGTGAGGATTACACCCACAGGCAAAAGGTCCCAGTTGTGATTGTTTGGAATGTTTCTTCACTCCACTCTCATTTAATTCAGTAACTGCACTTATTCTCCGCAAGAAAGTGAGAGGAATATTAGGTTTTGTCATTTATAAACACAAGAATGGTTTGGTTGCAGAATGTTGGATTGCTAAGCTTGCTTAAGATGACTGCTACATACAGGCACCACAATGACAATAATTTTGCTTAAAGGATTTAATGATGGAAAAGAATCCAAATAATAAACACCGTTTTATAGTAAATTACTGCTACTTCCAAATAATTTTATATACTGTAGTGGTATGCCCATGAACTATATATGAAAAGGTTTATATGATGTGTGGTTTTAGAATTTGTAGCCTTTGATAGTCACTGGTTTGCCCTTCATGTATTAACCCCTTTGTACAATTGTCCTGGAGCAGCTGATAACTTGTGATAATTCTGATTTTGACTGCTTCTGATTCACATAGTTGGTACTGAAATCAGTAAGTGATTTTACGGTTAACAGTCTTGTGGGTTGTGATGCTGTATAATTTGTTATATAATTACTGACTTTTCAGGGGACCCTATATTTCAAAATGAATGGCATCACATTCAAGAAGACTAATTTTAATATTCACTGCCTTGATAACCTTAAGGTTCACACAGTAAACTGTTTGTAGGATTTGAGATTGTCACAGTGGTGGTTATGAAGAGTTGTGTTTTCTGGGATATAACACCATGTAGTCTGATGAAAATCAACCAGTATTTTGGAGTAATGTGTCTCCTCCATCTTCAGAGTTTAAGAATAAGCCAGACAACAAATCAGCATGAAGCAGGTAGCAAGCAGAGCTCATCCTCTTAACCCTGAAGTTGTAGCCAGGATGTTACTCTGAAACATCAGTTCACCTTCAGCAGGTTACATTATATCCCAGAATATAGAACTCTTCATCAAATTGTATGTTTATTTTTTAACTTTGTTAATAATTCTCAGTACTAAATATTATGTGGAACAGAAAATGAGGATTGATATAAGTAAACAGTAAATGGTAAGCTCTCTAAAAGTTTGTGATGATGGTACATTAGTATAGATATTATGTTTCTGGACATTATCCATTGTCCTGTTTTTATCTAAACACCATCCTGTTTACATTTCAGAGGCAGGATTCTGTCTCCTTCAGGTAACACCTATTCATTTTTGCCCACTAGATAGAACTACTCTGTATCTCCAGACAAAAACAATAAATTGTGTTTAATTCTGCCTTCTGCAGATTGATTCATAACTAAAAATGCCCTGCAGAATATATGATATACATATACATATATACATATGTTGCATCTATCTTCCAGTATTTTATATTAATTTTTATTTCTTTGTAGGAAGAGTGACAAATCTGAAGCGTGTAACATACGTGGTATTGGATGAAGCCGATCGAATGTTTGATATGGGTTTTGAGCCCCAGGCAAGTTGCTGATGTACTGTGGCTTGATGTTAATGCACGTTGGTATAAGCAAGTAGGAATTTTACTGAAATAAGAATCTGGCACTAACACAAACATTCTATAGATGACATATATTCTATCAGCAGGAGAATGGAAGGGCTTCAATTTATATTGAATGAAGAAAGCAGTCTTCTGGGATTTGGCACCGTGTATATGTGGTGTTAACCGACGTTTCGGAGGAACGNGAAGTTCATGTAATGAGAATAATCTTAGTGGTATTACATCTTAGAATCTTATTGTGTGTGAACTATTTATTATATGATCCTTTGACACAGTTCAGCTATAAATTGAATAGATTTATACAGTTTTCACTCTACAACATGTTTTGGCCAGTCAGGCCATCATCAGGTAAGTTATATTACATAAACACTCTACTTTCCTGCTATTATTCCTCTATATTGGCCAGTATTTATGATTTTCAGAGGGGAATAATAACAAGAAAGTAGAGTGTTTATGTAATATAGCTTACCTAATGATGACCTAAATGGCCGAAACATGTTGTAGAGTGAAAACTATATAAATCTATTCAATTTATACATGAATTGCAGAGCAGGAACATATAGTAAAGAGAATCATCTTGTTCGTTTTTTTTTGTGTGTTTACATATCATACTGTCTACCCTATACACTGAGAAGTACTGTATTATTTTAATTAGAATTCGTAATAGAGTGAAATCTCCATTTATCCTCTGTTGTCTGAGAATAGGGCTCCTAAATCTTCTGCCACTACAGGCATGGTGCTATGTTGTAATTTGAGGGTTAACTGTTTCACATCAGGGAATAACAGGGTTTTATGATCTTGCTTCTGCATCTCTGGTGGTCATATTTAAACTCAGTAGTAATGGTATTATTATTTAAAATGCAGTGCATACCTGTCTTGACCATGCAATGCACTGATCCAAAAAGAATAGGAAGTTTGAAAAAGGTTAAATTTTATATCGGGGATAGTAAAGTCAAACACTTAGATGAAGATTCAACTTACCATTTAGGTGATGGAAATGGAAGTACATAAGAGAAATTGTAAATGAGGGAACCTTAAATAAATAAGTGTCAAATGGAAGTTGTACTGTTGTGATATAGGAATAAATCACATCCGCCTCCCAGGAATAGAGATTCTGCATTTGTAGCTTGTATTGACATTATCCTTACCTAGTTAGAATGCCTTCTGGGTAATCACATGTTCCGTCAAATTATGTATGTTATGTTTAATGGAATGATGGTCGGAGTTTGTTCCCTGGTATGGATGTTAAGCTTTACTTTTTATGGCGTCAGGAACACATTCAAGGACCAGTAATTTTATGGTGTATGAGCACAACTGTGTCTCAGATTGGTAGATCTAGAAATTTAGACCCCACTTACATGCCCCAGATGTCTCACATTTGGTATGAACGCTTTGTCTCACTTTTCACAGGTGATGAGAATTATTGAAAACATCAGACCAGACCGACAAACTGTAATGTTCAGTGCTACATTTCCTCGGCAGATGGAAGCCCTTGCACGGCGTATTCTCACAAAACCAATAGAAATCCAGGTATATACTCATTCAGAAGTAATGTGGTAAGTCTGTGATAGTTTCGCAGTGCAAGTTTGTAACAGAAACATGGGGGTCGACAGGGTTGTGTAATTAAGAACTGTAAATAACGATCCAAAGTTACAGTGATAGGAACATATGTTCCCAGCAGAGTTCTGGTGTGTCTAGAAATTAGAAGTCTGGACCCACAGTTTATATTTTTGTTTATATCAATTCAGAAGGAAATCACATGTTTACATATTTATTAATCTGATATTAATGTGTTGCAGTAATGTTAAGGCAGAAAATTATGTGGTGAGAGAGAAAGCATTCCATTTTGAAAGTTACAATAGAAAACAATTTAGGGAACAGGGTATTGACCACTATATTTGTGTATGTGCAGGTTGCCACCATATATAGATTGCACCCCAATTTTATGGTTGAAAAATGGAATTTTAATTTTACGTTGAATTGTTAATCATCTAATGGGTTACCATTCTACTTTTAATCATGCAGTTTCCTAATGGTATAGTTCATGTTTCACACCCTTCTGGCACCATTTGTTTAAACTGCTGCTTTCATTTTTCATGTCAGCTGCGAATTCATCCTGTATTTATCTGCAGAGTGGAAAATGAGGTGTGCATAATCAGAGTGGATTCTTTTCACATCATCTTTATGCTAAAGGTGTCTGAATGTCTGGAAGAAACCAGAACAGAGCAACAAGAAGAAAGATTATCATCCAAAATTTTATCACAGTGGTGTATTATTAACATGATCCTTTATTTGGATTTTATGTGTTGCCTGATTTAATAGAAATAAGTTTGATTTCAATGAAAAGTTTATGGGAGGTTGGAGACCTGGAAGCCTTTCATATAAAAGTAAACATTTCTATAAGTGGAAAAGTTTTGTATGTCAAAAGAGTCATATGGGATTACATATGTGAAGAATAAATTTAGAGATGTAACATTTTGCATGAAGAAGCATGTGTTTTGAACACATTAAATCGATCACAATTCCGAAGTCCAAAGGAGAACATTCAGAACAAGCCAGGAAATGTGAATCAGGACTATGTCTGCACTCAGACCAACATGTATAACATTTTTGTCAGTTGTGTTATTTGTATGATAGTATGATAGCATCTTCTTATCACAGAGAACACATTTGAACAATATGTATGTTCTATTATAGTACACCTTTCAACCCTAGTTTCCTTTTTCAATCTTTCTGCTTTATTCAGACATAACATACTAAGCTATAATGTAGGCCGCACCATAGCTCAAGCGGTTAGTCGCTGGCTTCCCACTGTGGCGGCCTGGGTTTGATCCTGGGTCTGGTCAAGTGGGATTTGTGGTGGACAAAGTGGCGGTGGGGCAGGTTTTCTTCAAGTACTTCTGTTTCCCCTAGCAATCTTCATTCCACCAATTGCTCCACAATCACCCTCACCTATCATCTGGGGCTGGTACAATAGGCCAGAAGTGGCCGCATTGCAAGGGACTTAGTCCCACCCCACTAGCAATAGAAAAAAAAAAGCTATAATGTGGTGACTTACTAGATGTTGTATGTTTTGCAGTATTGGTGAAATGATATCTAATAGGAATTGCTCACTTACGAGGTTATGTCATCCAGAGACTTTTGTATGCTAGTTACACATGGCAGTGGCTTGATGCTGTATAGTGCAGATAATGACAACATTATAAAATGGTCCACAAACCAACCATCTGACAGTAGCTGCTAGAGGAAATACAGCCAAAGCCAACTCATTTTTCATGTTTGATTCATGGGATAGGGAGTCCTATGTTGTGTTCCAAAGATGTAATAATAAAATCTAAGCTCTTAAATCATTTACTTGGTTTTGAGTAAGCAGAGGAATGAAGTACCATGTTTTGTTGTCATCAGGTTGGGGGTCGCAGTGTGGTGTGTAAAGAAGTGGAACAACATGTGGTTATTTTGGAAGAGGAGCAGAAGTTCCTCAAGCTGCTTGAGCTTCTGGGGCACTACCAAGGCCTGGGCAGCATCATTGTGTTTGTGGACAAGCAGGAGAATGCCGACATCCTACTTAAGGACCTTATGAAAGCGTCATATCAATGCATGTCACTTCATGGGGGCATTGACCAGTTTGACCGAGACAGTACTATAGTTGATTTCAAGTCAGGCAAGGTGCGACTGCTTGTGGCAACTTCAGTTGCTGCGCGGGGTCTTGATGTCAAACATCTCATCCTTGTTGTCAATTATGACTGCCCTAACCATTATGAGGATTATGTTCATAGATGTGGAAGAACTGGCAGGTATGAAAAATAATTAATGTTAAGGAAACAGTTAACATGCTCTCTTGCACTATTGACAGTATGATCTTTGATAGTTCAGTAAAGTAATTTTTCTTTATTGTCACAAGTTAGTGATTAGACTTGGGGTTTGGGTTGATTACTGAATTTATTGAACACTTATGACTTAATATAACTGCAAATAACTATAACAGTGACTATTTTACACACTCAGAAAATCACTGTATCATATGCTGAGAGCCTTTTCAGTGTGTTACATCTGCACTAATCATTGTTAATTTGGAGATTCTTCTGCTTCTGTGCTCACGGTCAGCCACCGACTGTGACTGCTTACTCACAACTAACTCTTTATTATTCAGAATAGCTTTGGGTTCTACACATCCTCCTATCCAGAGGGCACTTGGATGCTTTTGCTGCATGAGTGTGATCTCAAAGATCAAGAATTATTGGCATTTGTACCTTCTACTCTTGGTAAGACAGAAGAGATTTGATCGTTTGATTATTGCAGGGCTGGCAACAAGGGATTTGCATACACATTCATCACACCTGAGCAAGAGAGGTATGCAGGGGACATCATACGAGCACTTGAGTTATCTCTAGTACCAGTACCAGACCCTCTAAGAATGCTCTGGGATCGCTATAAGGCCAAACAAGCTGCTGTGAGTATTGAGTTATCTTGAAATAGCTGTCCTTAACATATGTTATTTCCTGTGGTGTATTGCTTTTGCATTGTTTATTTAACCACATGGCTGCTGTCAGCAGTGTCATAAGATGGGATCATCAGAGAAAAATGTTTTTGAAAGGATATTGAAGGAATTTGGCCTAATTTGAGGTATTGGCATTTGACTTAAGGAATAGAGAAAGTCACAAAAGACATCAGTCAGTACGGTTTGTCTGTAGGCTGAAATTTGAACCAAGGACCTCTCAGATACGAAATAAATACTACCTGCTGGACCATAACATTCTTTGTGTGCTGTGTTGTGTGAGAATATATAGAGTTAATCCATCTCTGCTTTCATATTCCTTTTTATCACAGACAAATCTTGTATTGCTTGTAAATTTATTTCTACATTCATTATAATTTTGAACTCATATTTCTTAGGTTTGTAGGTATATGTATTTGTTACCTTTGTGTGCCATTACTGATTTAAATTGTAGTGACCAGATATTACATGGAAATAATACTCTGAAAATGTAAACTGTAGGAGACTGTCATTTGTACTTTCCTTCCTGTCGTATTTTTCCTGGCTCTTCACACTGAATACGTTTCTTCATAGATTAGATTGGGAACAGAAGCTCGCAGAATCACTAGTTAAATAAAAACAACCAGAATTTTATTCACAACTTTGGTCATTAAAAAAGTAACAATATTTTTTATTTCTTAATAGGAGGGCAAGAAAGTCCACACAGGTGGAGGTTTCAGTGGCAAGGGCTTTAAGTTTGATGAAGCAGAAGCCATGATGGTGAGCGAGAAAAAGAAGTTTCAGAAGGCTGCTCTTGGTAAAGATTTATCTGTTACTTATTATATATTTGTTGGGGAATTTTATATATAAATTTGTTTTTTTATTTGTTGCATATTTAATTTTCAGGTTTGCAGGACTCTGACGATGAGGATTTGGAACATGACATTGACCAGCAAATTGAGAACATGTTAGCACCAAAGAGAATTGTTAAGGAAATAAAAGCACCAATAGGAATGAACCCAGGTGCCCCAGGTATTTGTAATTATCGATGATAGTACTGAATAGAACAGTGTAAGAGTATATGTATATATATAGAGAGAGAGAGAGAACATGAGCATTTATTTGTATTTTAGCATTTGGAAACACTTCCAAAAGTGAAGTATTCAGAAATATGTCCTATGATAGTATTGCTGTGGGCAAAGGGTTTGTCAGTCATGACAAGAATTGAACGTAGGTTTGCAGCTTTCTGTGATGGTTCCCTTTGATCTTAGCAGAGGTCAGGAGCTTGCAAATAGTCCTATGTCAGAGTAGTAGAACAAACTTAATCTGAAATCTTAATTTCAATCTTGGCACTGCTACTGTAGTGGTGCCAAGCCAGCTGATTCCATCAGCTACAGACAAGTTGGAGCTGGCTCGTCGTCTTGCCTCACGTATCAATATGGCGAAGAACCTTGGAGCAGAGGCTAAGGGAGCAACCCAACAGGCTGCAGAAGCCATCCTCAAAGGTGGTGGATCACAGCCTCTCATTACGGTAAGTGTGTGCCTTTTTTATGATTAACATCCAGGTGGTCAGTTGCCTACATGTATACATTTAAACCAGCAGTACTGTACGTCTTCAAGGCATATGATCGCTAATTTTTTGCTGATGGCAATAAAAAGTTCGCTTGTGATGTGGTTTTTGTTTGCCTTCCAAGGTATCTTAAGATACAGAGAATGTGAGTCATAATACAGATCAGAATTTGTACTCTTGGATGGGATCCATAATGTAATGCTGTGATACAGGTGAACTGTCCTTAACTTTTTTATATAACGGATTTGGTCAGAGCTCAGAAGGAAACCAGACTGGAAAACTATAGGTGGTTACTGTACTGTGTCAGTTTATATGATTTGAGAAATAATTTCTCATGCTTGAACTCATATCATACATCTGGGGATGTTGGACATCATTTTCAGTATGCTCAACTTGTTTACAGGCAAAGACAGTAGCAGAGCAGCTGGCTGCGAAGTTGAACACCAAGCTCAATTATCAGCCCAAAGAGGAGGATGATAAAGCAGAAGAGGAACAGGTGGAGACATTCCGGAAATACGAGGAGGAGCTGGAGATCAATGACTTCCCTCAGCAGGCTCGATGGAGAGTCACATCCAAGGTTAGAACCATATTATAATTTCCATTTTGCCAAGATCAGTTATCTTGTAAAATTTACATGAGCTAATTCCTTCTGATGACCTTAAATAGTGATGCTAGTGTAACTAATAGACATAAGAGATGTGTAGCTATATGGGAAAAATGAAAGGTTCCCTTTATGCATGCTTAAAATGTGTTTGGTAGGGTATGTCCCCAGAAATACACTCACCATCAATTAAGTTGAAGGAGATTCATGGTGATTATGAAAATATATATTTCAAGTATACTTTGAGGTTAGGAAAGTGGAACACCCAAATGTTTTCAACGCAGATGAGCTTGAAGTTTGACTGAAACATGAGATGTTATTACCCCTGATCAAATCCATTTCCCTTTATACACTGATGGCCAATTCATAAATAGTATAAATAAATTAGTATCAGAATCAGCATTTATTTATTTTGTGATTTTATTGATAACCTATTAGCATTTAAAAAATTAAGACTTACTTGGATGTGTACTGTAGAAAAACATGGTAAAATTATTGAGTTCCATTTCCGGGGTAGACAAGTTATTGTCAAAATATGAGGTACCATTTCTGACATTGACATCAGATTATAATGAGTGGCCACAGTCATATCCCAGCCATCTTTACCCTGAGAAATAGCTCAAGCACACATTCAGGAGTACACAGTTGATAGAAGGATAATTTTTGTTGAGTTTGGGTTGTGATACCTTGTAGTTTGGAGGAAGTTCACTAGTGTTTAAGGGAAACATACTGCCTCCATCTTCAAGGTTGAAGAGAAAGCCAAGTAAGCAAGAGCCCTGCATGCCTCTTGCTGATTGCTTATTTGGCTTATTCATCAATCCTGATGATGGAGGTAATAGGTGTTTCTAAAATGTTTGTGTACTTCTACCAGACTACACATAATCACATCCTAGAAGAATGTACTCTTCAAACAGATTTAAGTTTCACAACTTTGTATATTCCCTTTGCAGGAGGCTTTGGCTCAAATCAGTGAGTACTCTGAGGCTGGAATCACTGTTCGTGGTACATATTTCACACCAGGAAAACCAGCACCAGAAGGGGAACGGAAGTTGTACCTTGCTATTGAAAGTACCAATGAGCTGGCTGTGTCTAAAGCAAAGATAGAAATAACACGGCTGATAAAGGAGGAGCTGCTGAAATTACAGAGCTCAGCTCACCATATCATGAATAAGGCACGCTACAAGGTTGTGTAGTGACACTGTTTTCGAAGTTCTTGATGCCACTATTTTCCTTTCAACAGTTTGCAGAACTAGGCTATATCTTGTAAGAAAGTAATGTACTGTTAGTTTTCATTGTCAGAAATTCTTGGATCAGATTATGAAGTTCACACTTTTAACATAATTCTTTGTATAGATCTCATTTTTAAAGAAAAGACTATACAATGTTTGGACAGACTATTATGTTTTCTGGATGTGAAAATATGTGTATGAAAATGTTATTAATATTTTTATGTGATTCATATAGGAGAATTAAGCATAATACTTATGGTGTAGAAACCCATAACCACGTATCTCACCAGTTCCCTCCTTCCTGTTGCAGTAAAAAGGAATAAATCAAATTTGGAGGAGAAGGAATTTAGTTTCAAGTGTAACACAATTAATTATGATGTCATATACTCCTATTGATCTCTGTTATGGAAGCGATTAAAATCAGGTGTACATACTGTATCACCTTCCCTGAAAATGAGGCAGCAAGTTCCTGCAAAACAACAGTAATGATTGCCGGACTGTGCAGTGTCACATTTCAGAAGACAGCAGTCTTCATTCTGAGCAAGATTTTTCTGTGGGAAGTGCAACATGTAACATTGTGATTGTTTCTAGGCATGTTACATAAAATTGCGTATCTGCCCATAGCATCAGTGAAACACTTTGTTGTAGTATACTCTTCACATTCCGAGCATATTTTATCTAAGTGATAGTATGTTTGGGGGCAGCGGCCTCCGTAGTCTAGGGGTAACGTTCCCACCTCATGACTCAAGGTACGCAGGTTCAAACCTGGCGGAGGTCGTGGAGTTTTTAAGGGCGGAAAAATTCAGGGAACAAGTCCTCCGGGAGGGGCTTTAAGCCGTGGGTCCCGTGTCATAGATTTACAGCATGTAAAAGATCCTTATGTCTATAGGAGACCTCTGAGCAAAATTAGGCAACACATTTCCCACCCAAGTAGTTCCCAATGCCTCTGGTAGATGGGGGAAATATCAGGTACCGAGGGCCGACCTCGTTGGCTGAACGGGGCTGATAGCACGCACCAGTACCGGTATGGTATGGCGACAGTAGAAATTAAAGGAGGACGCACGATGGACCAATAAAGGCATGGGGAAACCCACCCCCTCTAATAATAATGATAATAATAATAAAATGTTTGAGGGCACACAGCATAGTTGGTTGAGGCATTGTACTACAAGCCAGAGGGTCATGGGTTCAATTCCCAATGAGGTCATTGGATTTTTCAGCTGACCTATTCCTTGTGGCCGCACAGTCGCCCTGCAGTTGACTCAGCCTGTTACAAATGAGTTCCAAGAATCTTCCTGGAGTGTAAAGGCAACCAGCTGGTAAGACTGACAACCTCATTGCCATCTGTGAGCTGATTGTCTAGAAAATGTTGGAGCCTCTACATCTCACAACCCTATGGCCCTCCACGGCCTATTACAGGGACAACTTTCCCCCCCCCCCTTTTTTTTTGCCTGGTAGTATGATTTTGTAATGCCTTGACAAATTTAATATACAACTGGACAGAAAATCATGGTTCATATTTATACAGAAAATTCTGACACCTTTGTGGCTTGAAATATGAGCATCATGTCTTGTTTTTTAGTTGTAAGGTGTCTGCTAGAGGGACATTTTGTTTCTTGTCTGTTGCAGTAGGTGTTACAGTTTAGTATAGCATGAGACTTAGTGGTTAAGGAATAAGACACTAGATTTTTGTGCAAAATTCCTTGGGTTTGAGACTAACGAGAACTAGGGTGTATTTTTCTTCATGTCTCTTTTCCATCATCTCCAATAGTGGTAGAATTCTGTGAAATTTATAAAAATACTTGAGCACCTGTGAAGCTTTGGAGACCATAGTAAGCTGTAGGTTCCATTTGCTGGCCATCACCATCATTATCACCCTAACTTGGGGGTAATGAAGTTTCCTTTGCAGGTGACCCTATTGCAGAAATTAACTTTTTCACCATTTCCAAAGCAGCAAAGGTCAAGTGTTTCAACTGGACTGTAACTGGATGCATTGGTAATGAAACAGCAAAATCTTGAAGTTAATTTATACATGAAATGGTACAGATAATTCTCACTACTTTACTTGGATCTAATTTGTAGTTACAGTGCAATATTAAACGCAGAAAACCCTCCTTCAGTGTGGATTTGTCCATTGCGGATTTGGTTATACATGTGAAAGTGTGAACAGTTATTTGTCAAACAGAAAATTGTATTATATGCAGTCTGCCAGACACATAAGTAACATACAAAAGATACCAGTAGTGTTTATGAAGCTAAAGATTGTAAAGCTTTTGCATATGTGTTGCATAACCAACTTTTTTTTATTCGGCATAAGTGACTGAATATTCAGCTAAATTGTTATCCCCATGACATGTGTCAAGTGTGGATTTATTGATTCCTTTTTGAAGATGTATTCACCTGTTGGACAGGGATTTACTGTACCATTGCTTGAAATGAACTTTCAGGATGGTATGTAATAGAGTGAAGAATGTAAACTGAAGATTGCCCATCTCACTGTGACTCATTCCAACACAAATCTTATAGTCTCTTGAGAGGTAAACCCTCATACTGATGGAGTGGAAGTTCTGCCCACCAATTACCAAACAATGGCAATATCGTTCCCAGATTTGATTTATTCCACAAACCCTTCATGCAAGCCATTGTGAAGCAGCACTTTTGGAAGATTTATTTCTCTTATGGACGCTTGTAAGTGCAGGATTACATCATGAAATCTGTATCAAATTGTAAAAATGGAGTTACCATTGTGTGTAAGTACCACAGCCTAAAGGTGTAGAGGAAATGGAGGTTCCTATTGGATATGAAGCTTTCCTTTCTGAGGGAAGCCTGACAAACATGTTCTCATTTAGAGTGTAACTGTGCTGCTTCATGCAGGATGCATATTAGTGTAAGTGGATTGCTCTTTTGGAAACCCAAAAATATGCTGAATCAAATGCATGAATCATCATGGGCAAAACGGCCCTTTTTGAGCCATAGCCTTCCTTAGAAGATTCTGCCAGACTTCTCTTGGATTAGATCACTTGGTTTCCACTCCTTTGGATTTTGCAGCAACAATTTTATTTTACAGAGCAAGGTTGTCAGCCTTGTGTCCAGTCCTTAAAACATTGCCACTGTCATTGCTGCCTGACATGTTTAAATTGCTACCATTTTATGATCACAACAAAAACAAACTAAAAAAAAGGTTATTACTTGTGCCACACTTAAAATCATGGCAATCCAGGGGGCTAACTTGGTTCCTGTATTGTCATGTTCGCCCTGTTTGTAATTTATAAAATGATACCAAATCAAAAAGTCAGTTGCGATGGTTATACAGGGCTGGGCATGTTGTATAGTTTAAACTGTTTAGGTAGGCTGCGCGATAGCTCAATTGGTTAGTCGCTGGCTGTGGCGGCCCGGGTTTGATCCCAGGTCTGGTCAAGTGGGATCTGTGGTCGACAAAGTGGCGCCGGGGAAGGTTTTCTCCGAGTACATCGGTTTCCCCTGCCAATCTTCATTCCACCAATTGCTCCACAATCACCCTCACCTATCATCTGAGGCTGGTACAATAGGCCAGAAGTGGTCGCAGTACAAGGGACTTAGTCCCACCCCACTAGCAATAAAAAAAACTTTAGGTACTGCTTCACCTACCAAGAACCACAATGAAAACATAAGAGCCCACCTTACTGACAACTAAAATAAGTATGAAACAATAACATACAATTTAGTGTGACAAAATGTACCTGATGACACTGCACTAACTACAGCCTGTATCAGTCAGTTCTAACATAATAATTCCTACAACAAATGTATGGCTCAGGTATTTTAAATCCTTTGTTTTTGTGTGTATGATTTGTAACATTTACCTTAATGTGGCATGCTCCCTGAAGATCTTGTAAGACTGAAATGTAGGGTTTTAATAACATGTAATCAACAACAGGAAATAAAGCATATACACTTACACAGGATTGGGGTTTCTCACAGTGGTGGTTATGAAAAGTTGTATCTTCTGGGATATACATGATGCTATGTAGTCCATTGAAAGTCATTTGGCGTTTCAGAGGAACATGTAGGCTCTCTCTTCAGGAATGAAGAATAGGTGAAGCAAGAAGCCAGCATGAAGCAGATAGCAAGGACTACACAACAATATATCCCAGAAGACAACGCTGTTCTAGGTATACACAGATGGAAACTTACATCTTATTTTAATACAGATATAGTATATCTGAAAAAATGAACTCATATTATTAAACACATCTTTAAATGGACTAAGAATAAATAGAGTACATAATAATGAATTTCAGGGGAATAATTATGTGGATTGAATGTATCTTTAAAGACCTGGATTTTATAGTAAACTTTTGTTTTATGTTTGTTTAATCTTCTGTTACTGGACAGTGACTTGATTGGATAAAATCCAGTTAAAGGTGGGTTGTTTCATACATATGTATCACAGGGATACGGTACTGTGCTAATGGGAACGTTTCGATTGGTCATGACATTTTCTGAAAACAAGGCAGACCAATCAATTGCATTGTAGTATCTGAATGTGATTGGTGATTGACATGGTCATAGGTAAGACTCTTGATTTACTGTAATACTCTTAAAATTTTCTCGATAAACTCATAAGGTTGGCTTGCATTTCAATTTAAATATTTGATTTAAATATATTCTAATTTGATTATTTATCTGATTTGATTGTGTGTGTGTTATATTTTAATTATAAGTTAACCATGTCAAGAGTGATTATTTATTGTTGACAAATTCTAATCCTTTAGGTATTTGGGCAAAAGAACTTCTAGAATGAAGTATTTAATGATGTGACGTGTTCAAGTGTTATTGTTATAGAAATTATGAATGCCAAATAAAATGAATGAATGAGGGAAAGAATGAATTACTTGCGATCAGACAACATTACAATTATTTTAAAATGCGCGCGCACGTCATTGCTACTAACTGATACTTGAAGGAAGAATGGGGTTTAAACATTGTGTAACACATGCATCTTAGAATTTACTGCACCAACGTAACGCTCTCGTTTTTTAAATTATTATTCCGTTATGTTTAAAGCTCTAAGGTCATAGAAACGTTGTTATTATTATGACCAAAATTAAAAAAACATGTTGGCAACGTGAGAAAGTGATCACAAGATTAGTCTCCATCAGTCAGCAGCACGAATCTGGTACAGGTTGTAGTGGATGTGATTTTGGTGTTACATATATTTCTATTTTATATTGTAAATATATATCATTAGAGACTAAAAATAATCGTCGATATGACGAACACAGATTTTAACGTGAAATCCATAATACCTGCTTTGCCGGATGAGAAAATTGGTACGTATTATCAAAAAGCGTAACGCCTTTGGGAAGTAGGTTAAATTAACTTTTTTTCTTTGAAAAGACTGACTGTTTGTTGTTGCCCACAGTATATTTTTAATACATGGTACCCCTGTTACATTACTGGTAATTGAATTTAGTATTCCATTGAATTTCAAGTGCACATTCTCGCAAACATAGGCGAAAACTGGCTGTTTGTTATTGCTCGTAGTGCATTCTTAATAAATGGTTCGTTGGTTACATGACTGTTAATAGAGTGTAGTATTTCATTTAATTTCAAGCACATACTCTCGCACGAACATATAAACACCCCATTTATATTCATAAAGAGTCTTTTAAATATATGAGTCACTAGATGACATGGATTTCATTTCTTGTGTTATATGTACAAATTTTCAGACTTGCAGAATATTTGATCATGTAATAATGATAATATTTTTAGTTGTATGCTTGTTTCTATCTTGTGCTGTAGATATGCTCGCTGCAACGAGTGTGTTGCAGCAGCAAGCAACGGAAATTCGTACCCAACGGGTGAACTGGCAGTCTTATCATCAGTAAGTAATAGTTAACCTTCAGCTCTTACACGATCAAAGAGGACACAGTTTTATACACTTTCTTAAAATATCATGGATTTAAAAGTCTATGCTACTTAGTACAAGTAGTAGCAGTGGCATTTATTGTTTTAACGCATCATTCATGTTAGCTGAAACATATTGCATATGTTACATAACTGCATATTCGGTCTGTGCGTAGTAGCTTCTTGTTGAAGCTACCAGCAATATAGAAAAGGTAAGTCAGAGTAACATGTGCTTGAGTTCCAAACCAGAGAGTCATTTGTGAGTCATATGCATTAAGTGACCATGGCATTAGAAGTGATAACTGGTTCACATTCTGTCTGCCTTATCTTCCAGAGAACATGATCCCAGTATCCATTGTTAAGGAGGTGTGTAAGGGCTAGAATTGTTCTAAAATAGTAATTAAGAGAAAAGTAATATCTCCTGGGGATCAGAGGCTGGCAGTCTATTTTGAAGTCAGTTTTCATGTTCAAGAATCACAACATGTTGGCTATAACAGTTATATTTTGTGGGGAAACTTGAATTCCATTGGTCTGACCTAGAATTATAATTGCAAAGTAAATTTAGTTATCCTGGAGCCAGTATGTCACATTGTGAAGGCACATGGAGGTGTAGATTAACCAATTCTTAACTTTGGCACTAAATGGATGTGTGTGGTCAATTTGTAAGCCATTTTAACCTAATTCTCTTGTCAGTGAATTTTAGTTGCTTATGGTTCTTAGACAATGAGTAAAGAGGCAAATTTCCATTGTTCTTTAATTTTTTGGTAAGCTACGGGAACCACAGTTGCAGAACTAATGCATATGATGCAGGATAGAATTATGTAACTACTGAATATTTTCATTTTCTAGATCTCAGATGATTTCACAGGAAGACTACAGTTTCATTGTGGCATTTGACAATGCTGATGCAGCCAGTCGTGAAGGACTGCTTCGTGATAACCGTAACCAGTGTGCAAGAACATTCCTCAACTTGTTGGGGCATGTGTCAAAGGACCAGACCATACAGTATATCTTGATAATGATAGATGATATGTTGCAGGTTTGTTGAATATAAGACTAAGTATGAAATAGCATTACAGGACTTCATGCAACAAAGGCACAAAATCTTTTGCTGCCATTCTGCATTTATTGCACTGTCAAGAGGATAACGAGGTGTTATCGGAAAGTTCCCGGATTGTTATTGTTGTAACTGCCTTAGTGAAAGAAGTGAGAGGGGAGGACGAGGTCACACTTCGGCAAACCTATTGCATCAGTCTGCCACATGACATTGTGCTGTGAACACACATTGCTTTTACTTGAATGCTTTTTCAATTTCTTGTTTTGTGTTTTCTGTGATGGATGGTAAAATCGAGCAATGTGTCTGCATCAAGTTTTGTGTGAAGCTCGGTAAGTCTGCTAGCGAAACCAGTGAAATGCTTTGTGAGGCTTTTGGAGAACATTCTTTAAGTCACAGCATTTTTTGAATGGCATTCACATTTCAAAGCTGGTCGAGTTTCAGTTGAAGATGATGAATGTTCAGGGTGACCAAGCACAAGCAAAATGACGGATACTGTTTAAAAAAAATTGAGAACTCATCCACAAAAACCATCACCGAACAACCCATGAGCTCACAGACACTGTTGAGATCAGTTACTCATATGGAGTTTGGTATGGGGTCTTAACAGAAAATTTAAACATGTGCTGCATTGCTCCTCCATCACGACAATTCACCTGACCACATGTCCCTGAAAACCACAGAGTTCATGACTAACAATAACATGGTTATCATTCCCCATCCTCTTCACTTGCTGGACTTAGCTGCCTGTGATTTTGCTTTGTTTCCCAAATTGAAAATGAAACTTAAGGGACCATGTTTTGAAACAGTGTCTGACATCCGAAAGGAATCGCAAGTGGTATTCGACAACATTAAGGAAAATTACTTCCACGGCACTTTTGAAGCGTGGAAAAAATGGGTGAGGTCACTGTATACAATCCCAAGGAGATTGTTTTGAAGGAGATGGAATCCAAAATTGAGTAAGTTAAGCCCATATTAATTTTTTGACCCAGTCAGGAAACTTTCCAGTAGCACCTCATATAAGGCATCTGATATGGACAAAAGCACCTACTGTTTGCTAGTTTCTGTGTCAGTGCAAGATTTAAAACATTCTCATTGCATTACAGGAGGACCATTCACGTGTAGAAATTTTCCGTGAGCATTCTTCTAAGAAGCGAGAAACAGTGTGGGGTCCTTTCTTGAATCTTCTGAATCGCCCTGATGGTTTCATCATGAACATGACATCAAGGATAATCGCAAAGATTGCCTGCTGGAGCCAGGAACTGATGGATCGCTCAGACTTGCAGTTTTACCTCACCTGGCTGAAAGATCAGCTGAAGCAGAACGTAACTTGCTCCTACACAGATATTTGACTGTTTTCTAACAGCACATAATTGGCACCAAATTCATGTGATTTTGAACACACAATCATAGGTCTTTCAAGAATTATTCTTACACAAAATTTAGTACATGCATAACTTCCTCCGATAGCAATTTGACCCATAAACTGCTTTTGATGACAAAGACAATACAACTCCATCCACTGTGACTATTGAAGTTTTTACTAGTTGGAAACTTAACACCCTTACATGTTTTGGTCCCTAGAGACCATCATCAGAGGGACATCGATACTTTTTTAAAACTGCTATCACAGTGGGTGTTTTGAGTGATAAATTACATATACATACAATGTTTGTAATGCACAATATGTACAAAATCCAACTTTTCCAAAAGATTTTAAAACTGTAATATACCAAGAAAGCTGCTGTAGTTGTGGAAAAGTTGGATTTTATATATATTGTGCATTACAAACATTGTATGTATATGTATTTTAACACATCACGGACCGGCGATTTAAATATTTAAATCGCCCTGGGGACCGGCATTATTAAACTTACTATCCTAACTTGTGCACTGTTCAACTTAAAAATTAAAATCTCCTAATTAATTTTATGAACTGAAATTTTTGAAGAACACTTACCAGTTCTCCAAGAAGTGCTTGAGAGTGTGATATTTCTGGAAACATTCCCCTTTGTGAAGTGGCATTACACAGCTTGCAATGTAGACATATTCCTTTTTTATGAACTGTGCAAACACAGCATTGCCTAGAAGGATGCTTCCCCTTGGAATGATCACTCTTCACAATTTTCATGAGGGTATGTTTCCGCACATCACCCAAGAGTCGCCCTGGGGGGTCCACATGAGGCCTGCGTGGGGTGGGAGTTGATGTGCCCGGTTGCCCTAAGTCTGTGTCTGAGTCTGGTCTGTAGCCCAGGCCTTTGCCACATTCGTCAGAAATGCTTTGTATTTCAATTTTGAATCAGGGTTTAGATTTTTTGCTGTCTCCGCAATGGTCCTACCCGCATTTTAATCGGAGCTCCTGTCACTTTTACTGTCTGTATATATAACATAAAGCATAGATCTCATTAAGGCCTTTAATATTTATTTGAAACATATTTTGACTTGCTGTATCCTTCAGAAAATATAAGGAAGAAATTATGTGTGTACATGAATGTAGATTAGATTTTCCAATAATAGAGTATGTGACTGCACAATTTAGTATTCTAACTTTTGTTCAGCACTATGAACAAAAGACTTGGACCTCCATTAAATGAACATGCAGAAGAATGAAGAACATAAATCTTAAAGAAAGCATTTTGAGTGCCTTTGTATAAGTATTTCACTACACCTGTCCTTATTTAGCATTGCTTTTCACAGAAAATATAGCCAAAAACTGTAAACATTGGAATGTATGAACTAATTTAATTTTTTACTCTTATTTTTTTACACTGAATTTCAGTGTCTGTAAACTGAATTAATTTGTTAAACTGGTGAGAACAATTTGTAATTTTAAAATTAATTTTTACTACATGACTTACATGAATTTATATAGTTTGCCACATATTTTCACATGAATGTGGTGCTTTTTTAATTTTTTTTATTACTTTTAAATTTGATTTGCTTGCAGCTGATAGAACGACTTTAGCATGAAGGAACTTTGCAGGAATGTAATTAATATTTAGATTTGAAGGAAGTATAAAAGTTATATTGCCACTGAGAAGTAATATGAATAAAAGTATATACTCATGCCAGAGTAAAGACTGATGCATATAGAAGAGACTAAAATTATGAAGCTTTGCAGGATCAGGTGCTCAAAGTAGGTAAATAGGTTGACACATGTTTATTGGCTTAAAACATTTGTGGTCAGTCAGCCATAAGTAGTTGATGCTTTCAGTGGGAGGCTAAAGCTTTGTGATTTCTGCCCCTTTTGTATGCATCATTGGTGTCTGCCACTCTGATAGATGCTGCTTATTGATTTAGTGTGTCAAGAAGGTAGTTTAATTATGTAGATTAATATCATTAAATCACTGATGTTCAAAATATTATCCATCAGGATATTTAATGTTTAGAAAAAATTGTGCCATATTTTAATGTATATATTTTCGTATTTACTGTCTTTTTAAGGACTCCTGAATAGTGATGCATGAGTGTGTTTTGTGTACTAACACATCCGAAGTAGTTTTGTGTTCTTGATTTATCTGATGCAATGTTCACCTGTCTTTATAAGCTGGCACATGCTTTCAGTAGTCTTTTGGGAGGAAATTGTAGACATTGGAAAATTTAAAAGCTTCTTATATAATTTCACTAACATGTTATATCAAATACAGTTGAACTTTTCTTAAGGTTTTCATGAGACAACCGATACAAACGTTGTAGGATGGAAAATTGCGTAGGTGGGTGGACAATATTAAAATGGATCTTAGAGAGATAGAATGGGTTGGTATGGACTGGATTGATCTGGCTGAAGATAGGGACCAGTGGAAGGCTCTTGTGAACATGGTAATGAACCTTTGGGTTCCATAAAATGCTGGGAAATTCTTGAGTAGCTGTAGAATTGGAGGCTCCCCCCCAAAGGGCTGAGCTCCATGAGTAAGTAAGTAAGGATGGAAAAATCTGTTAAGGTGTTTCGTATGGTAATGTCATAACTGCTGTAGCCTTAATGAAACCATCTTTTTGGAAACTATAGTAGAATATGCATACATGAAAACAAGGGGGACACAAATATAAGCTTCATTAGATTGGAACTGTTTATCAAAAATATGTATCTCTGTAGGGAATTATTTTTTTCCTTTTGACATCCAAAATTACTCTGGGACTGACCCAGTCTACTGTTCAGTGAGTACCAGTTGCTCTTTCCTTAGGGTAAAGTTGGTGGAGTACTATACTGCTTACTCATATCCTGCTCCATCTGAGTGATAGAATGCACTCTGTATTACTTCATACATAGTGCCCAAGCACAAGGCAAATTGGTATAGTCTGTGAACATGACCATATATTGTATGTTGCCAGAAAAGGAAAGTTTCTTTATTCTTGGGAGGTATAAAAGAGATTGATGTTACTGTTTTGCATAATACATAAGCTTTCCCATTGATTATGTGTAACATATAACTAATTGAAGTCATATCAGATATGCATGGTTTAGATGTAATGAATCCGCTGCACTCATGAATGGAACCAGAGAAGATTTAAGCACTTCACATTTTACTGGGGCATCAAGTAGGACTTTGCATCTGACTAGTGTGGTATGCTTCCATAGAAGGTTGCAAAGCATTTGGAATAACTTTCATTTCATATAGACTGTTCACATTCCATGTCATTGTTTTTGTCTGCTGTAGTGAGGTATTTCCTAAAGTTGCAAGTTCAGATTCCATGATTGGTGGTTTTATGTTTAATATCATGCCTCCTTATTACTATATCATGAGTATTAGCATGTGGTGTGTTGTACATATCTGTTTATAGCTCTCTGTTTGGCAAAGTAGCCCAGATTGAGGTTGTATACAAACAGATGTATTCCTTGATGGTTCATACAACCCTTATTGAAATAAATAGGACAAGGTGTGAGGTGGACACTCAATTTGGGGCATGTCATGTTGACATACTTGGAAATGATTTTATATATTACCACATAGATAAGATTTGAGGTTCTCACAACTGGGATATACATAATGCTGTGTATGTTGAAAGTCAACTAATATTTAAGGGGTTGAATATGCCGAGCAAGATTCCAGTGTGAAAGCAGGCGGGAAGCCAAGTAATTGCTTGGCTGGAAATTTTGGATAACAGGAAACGGGAGGGAAATGGAATAGTGGACCTCAGTTCCCATTTGCTTGCAATGGGACAGAATGAAACTGCTGGGCTGTCACATGACCACTGAGTGAACCAGTAGGAGACAAGAACAGGAGTTTTGATGGCTCTGAAAAGTGGCAGTATTGCTGGTCTAGGATCGTAGGAAACCTCCATCACATGACAGCAGATTTGGGATCTCCTTGGCGCCATGCATATCCGTGCAAACTGCCTTTATCAGGACACAGAATATGCCCTGTTTTGGTACTCACCAGCCTCTGCCCTGCTCTCTTGGCGTCCTTCCGCTACCTCTGCTCCCTCACCCCTCACTGCATGCCTGCGTCTCACTCACTAGACTTCTCTCCCTTACAAGTCAGTTCCCTGGCCAACACACACCTTTTCCCTATCTTTTTCCTAGACCAGGAAAAGCGACCCTTTTCAGGGCCAGCAAGGCTCCTGTTCTTGTCTCCTATTGGTTCACCTAGTGGTTGTGTGAGATCCCAGTGGTTTCATTCTGTCCCATGGTGAGCCGATGGGAACTGAGGTGTACTCTTCCATTTCCTTCCAGCTGTTTATATAATCTAAAGTTTCTGGGCAGCCAATTACATGGCTTGCTGCCTGCTTTCATGCTGGTATCTTGCTCGGCTTATTTGACCCATAAAACAGAGGAGATATGTTCCTCCAAAACATCAGTTGACTCTAAATGGACTGCATGGCATTATATTCCAGAAGATATGCTCCTTGCATTTTCACATAGTTTCAATATGAAAGGACTTTCTGATGTTTTAGAGGTTAATTGTGTCCACCTTTAGAGTCATCTTAGGGGTGAACTATGTAAGTAGAGGAATGCCAGTGATAGACAAAGATGCTCTGTTTGGCTGCATGATATGAATTTACCTTCTAAGTAGTTTAGCTCTGTTATGAGGTACCTGAAGAACCAGATATTGTAATTGGTTGTTTATAGTCATTCTTTATATCAGTTCACCAATTTTAATTTTGGCTAGTGGATTTTCTGTCCTGACTAGGGCTTTTTGTGGTTTTCTTAGTCTCTTAAAGGAAGTACAAATAGTAGCTTTAACTATGCCACAACAACTTCCTCTCACATGCTTTCTGTTGTATGGTGCACGTCTACTTGAGAACAAGTACTTTAAAAAGCCCCTACTCCCATGTCTCTGTAGGCCTAGAAAAGTCCATGTGTCTTTGTGGATTTAGACAGGAGACAAATATAAGAGCCCAGCATGGTCACTGCTGTAGTGTAGACTGTAGTTTATAAATTTGATGTGTATAGAACTGCTACCAAAAACTAGTATTATGTTTTGCTTGTAATCTGATTAACACACGTAGCCATTTTAGATAACACATAACTTCTGTTGCATGCAGCACGCATTTCTTTCCCTGAAGTAGTAGCACTTTTAGTTCTCTCTCTGTTACTCATTGTGTAAGCTTTCTATTTGCACCTATATTCATATAGAAGCATTTGAAGTATTTTGGTTTTTCGCTCCAATTGTATTTTTGTAGAGTGAAGCACTAACGGATGCAAACTTGCATGGTTCGCGTGCTGTACAGGATTTGTCTCCAGATTCTGTGCCTGAAACACCAGCCGAGCAGCATGAGGAGAATCTGGTTGGTTTTTGTTCTAAACTGAGTGACACTGTTCAGGAAGAGAGCTTGCTGGACACTGAGAATCAATTCTTTCATGGCAGCACTGGCTCTATTCTGTTTTTACGCAGTGTTGAACAAGTGAGAGATGAATTGAACATGTTGCATGCAACGAAGGAAAAAGAAATGTATACAGTATTTTTGATAGATAACCTTGAGGGAAAGACAGTTCAGGAGATTTAGGTATAGATGGGAGAACAGTAAAATAATGGGTCATAGAGAATTTCAGTCTGAAGATATGAATTGGATTCATGCAGTACAGAATAGGATACAATGCTTGACTTTCATAAATATAGCTGTGCATCTTTATTTTTGATAGAGGTCAGAGATTTCTTGATTAACTTAACAATCAGATGCTGAAGGAAGATCAGTACCATGTAGTTACTTAAAACCTCCAGATGACTGACAGTGCTGTAGTTTTACAATTGTTCGATATTATGGGGATATGATACAACAGAAAGTGAGCAGGACATTTTTGAAATTTAAGTATAAGTTGTCTGTTTTAAGACTATGAGCCAGGCCTCCCAGAAGCCTCCATTAATATACTAGAATGGTCAGGGTGAAACAGTTTGTGGTACCTTTCTTACTTTGTTTACTTTAAAGTGTCATTTTAATTATTTTGTAGTTCTTCAGACTAGTCAGATATTAAAGTGTTTGTACTGTCACACAGCAGCGTTTGATTATAATATAATAAAACACTTGAGAGCAATTGAAAAGAATAAGTCAGTTTATTATATCAATCCCACTACATGTTTCTGTCTGTTCAGTCTACTTTAATATCGTATACACGACAGGATCTATTAAAAAACTGTCAACTGTTTATTTCAAATTGTCATCTTTGAAGTTACCGGAGATATACTATATTTTGCAAACCTATGGTGTATAAGTTTCTTACTCGTGGCTGTAAAATATTAATCCATGTATTATAAGGGCTCCACTTTCTTTTGTGTTGACTGGAAGGATCACTAAGATACAATTAACACTTTAACTCAAAATGCCAAGTAATTCACATGTTCGTTGTTATTTGTTGTGCTTAATATGCATATAACGGATTGAACTGGTGCCTATTTAATGTCTTTTTCATATCCTAAGAGACTTGGATCACACTGTAGCAGTAAATTAGTATTCATTCCTGATTATAATTAATTTATAATTACTAAACACACTTATAGATGATAGATTCCACATTAAATGTCTGATTAGGTGATACAGTTCTCCGAAACCTATGACCATTATGTTAGTAAGTTTATGTAACTGTGGTGACATGCTGAGTTCTGTTTGAGTTTACTAATATGGCCCAAAGTCACATTCATTCAGTACACATACACTGGGGTGTAGAAGTTGTTTTGATATTAAAAAATGTGATGATGTGTATATTGTTTGGAAGATCAGATGGTTTAATGAACTATATTGAAACTCAAGAAGTTTGCGGGCTCCTTTATAAGAAATTATGTTCATAGATTTTAAATTGTTCACATAATGCAGCATTGACTGTTATCATAGTCAGTGTAAAGAGGAGTACCCTCAGCTGACAACACATTATTTTTAGTAACTGGGTTTCCAGGCCCCCAGCTACTTGGTCCTTATGTGCCTGTCTTCGTATTACCATGTCGAGCCATAATAATGATAATATCAAAAGTATACAGGAATGAGAAGAGGATGATCTATAAAAGGGTCTTGAAAAATAATAAATAACATGATCATTGTGAATTTGACATAGTAAAGCTAGTTGCATGTGCATCATATATGTATATTCAAAAGTCCATTAAATTTAAAAGGTGCCAAACTTTACTTATACTGATATATCAATTTCAGGCTTATGTAAATATTAATGGGTTATCTTAGGTTTATGGGTGATGAATTTGAGAATAAAGTAACTGATTTTAACTCCTTGAGACCCAGTTTTGAATAAAGATTATCATATAAATTCTTTACATTGGTGAACCTAAAGTGGTTACAGTATTACCCAAAAATTTATTTGGAGGGACTGAGAAAAATCACAAAAGCAGGGCTGGGGAACTAATCTGTTTGTTTTTTAATTTGAGAAGCTGATACAAAGAAAAATCTGTGTCATTTTGCATTACAACTGTTCATGGCCTGTTATTCCAGAACAACGAATACATGCAGTCAGTGGCGCGATGTCTGCAGATGATGCTACGTATAGATGAGTACAGATTTGCATTTGTAGCTGTAGATGGTATCTCCACCCTTCTTGCCGTTCTTCAGGGACGAGTGAACTTCCAGGTCCAGTACCAACTGATCTTCTGTCTCTGGGTTCTCACCTTCAATCCTCTGCTGGCCGAGAAAATGAACAAGTGAGCCCTGATACAGACATGCTTTACCAGGACTACAGAAGCACATGACCATGAACAGAGCTTCTTAGCCATTGTATGGTATTTGCAGCTATAGGTCTTGAGTGTATTCCTAATTTACGAATGTACATATCATGATAGCTTCAGCATCGTGCTGTCCACTGGATGGGTGAAAAATTTAATTTTTGCTTACAGTGGTATTGTGTCTATTTTACACAAATATTTAACGTTTTGAAGTTCTTTCTTTCTTCCAGTTTTGTTAAATTAATATTCATATAATCAGATGAACATTATTAACATGTAGTCAGTGGTATGAGATAGTGTCTGTTGCCATCACATGATTTTGCATAAGTCAGAATGAGAATATTACTACTCTTATTGTTAATTAATGTTTTAATATCAATATTAATTAGTATTTATTATTTCTAGTGTTGTCATTATAATTGTAATTTTTAACTAACATTATTTTTATTCAGAGATATTGGGTTTTTGGACTTCATCCATCGTCCTGGTTTTTAAGATAACTAAGGAAAACACGATGTTTCAGAAACTGGATCTGTTTCTGTCCTCAGGTGAGGATGGAAACAGATCCAGTGTCCGAAATATCGTGTTTTCCTTAGTTATCTTAAAAACCAGGACGATGGATAAAGTCTGAAAACCCAATATCTCTGTGTGTTATACACTATCGTCAGAATCCTGTAGTAACTACTTATTTTTATTGTTTTGGCTGTTTTAATTTATGATAACTAAGTTTTTGGGTCCGAATGGTGGACTTATTTGATGGCTGCTGTTAGAGGAAGATAATATTCCTATCTCCACTGAGGAAGCAGTCCATATGGAATATAAATTATAGTTATAATGAATGCAATGAAAAGAAAACTATTCAGAAAATGTTAAAGAAATTTTTATAAATTAATTTTATTGTCATAAAACTATTTGAACCCAAGAGGCAATTTAACCTTCTACTTATTATGTATCATGTGAACTGAATATGATGGTTGGTTTCTATTTAAATTTTTTATTTACCAGTGATGTCACTATTGAGACTGTAGTGTTCAAGTAGTTTTTTAAAAGCTGAAGGTGGATACATGTGGTACATTCTGGATATGTATTGTCTGTAACATTTAAATTTTCAGCCTTTACATTTTAAATTTATTTTCTACAAGTTTCACAGATTAGCAGTAGACATGTGCATGATGTGATATACATGCCCATATTTCATATTGGAAGATAGAGTGAGGAATTATGTCCTCTTTCAGGTTTAGTGTGATCCCAATATTGGCCGACATTCTCAGTGATTCTGTCAAAGAGAAGGTTACTCGTATCATTCTGGCTGTGTTTAGGGTGAGTATGTACGAAATATACAGTCTACACGTTTATTTATTT